ATAGTATGTGCTTGACCAATTGGAAATTTGCAGAGTCTGTAGGAAATCTGGATCTTGAGTGTAGAAAAATTCCCAGATTTTCCCAAAATTCACGTTGATCGAAACTTTTGCGATTGTTCGAATGCTATTAGAGCTTACTTTGCTCTATCAAATGATGTATTTCGTAAATTCCTACATCTTCTCTGCTGTTCTAGGACAAGGAACATGCTTTGATTTTGCTTGACCTAATACAACGATTCCTGCCTGAACTTTCTAAGGATATTTACAGTCACACTTTCTCAGAGATCATGACATGGTATTTTGGGATTTTGAAATGGTGCAATATAGTTTAAGTCTTGCTCAACTAAGTGCCATCCGTTTTTGGCAATTATGTAGAAAACTAGAGTTATAAAAATTATTAGCCATATCATTGCTTTCTAGATTGGGTTCGCTCAACACCTGTTAAGGGTTCAGAAAGGTGCGCGTTAGCTCAGATATGTATAGCTCAGAGTTAATTCAGAGTTATGACTGTGAGTTTCGACAGGTCTACTACCGATCCAGAAATTTTCGAATCTTCGTTGAGCGAACATAAAATTAGACTTAAATTGACTCGATATCATGCTCAAAAAACGTATGCATAAAAATTTTCAAAAGAACTCCTTCAAGGTCACACAACTAGCAGCCCTTGTTCAAATTTTATCAATAATCTCCAATAACCTTCATTATCGTACCTACTACATACATGTCATCCAATCTAATGAAGAAGCCCGTGTTTCAATCCGTCGGCGAACGGAATTAGGGTATATTGTGTTGACACAAGAGGCACCTTGTAGTAAATCTTGCATACCAATTGACTTGAAATGAAAGAAGAAGAAGGATCGAGAGTAACTAGTGACTGAGGATAGGGCATTGATATATTTCCTCTAAATTTGTACTGCCAACTAGATCTCATAAAGTATGCGAGCACCACAGCAGGTTATCACCCTTCACTCGAAGCCCATTTCGTTTGGCGAATCAAACAGTCAGCAACTAAATGCCCTTAGCAAGCACATCGTACGTCTGTGCAAACATTCTACAACGAAGGGAGGTATGATGATGGATAAACAATGAAGTTATAAATAGATTTAAAAAGCAAGCAATTGGCTTGTGAGCAGCAGCGTTCTCTTACAACTTCCGCAAATTCCGAAAATGTAATATTAGGTCAAGGAGACACAATGCTATACACTTCAGCGACTTCGCGCTGTCGTCCGTGCCAAAGGTGCCCGAATCGAGAAGTAACTTATGATTGTTGATGTACCAGTTGTTACTCAATAAATATTATGTTCATGACTTGTTTGCACTTTTGCTTTCTGAGATATAAGGTGAAAACCTTGTCGCTATATTTATGGCCAACCCTGTACTGTATCACAAAACTCACTAATTCATTCATAGATATAGAAAATCCGTCATCAAATCCTGTGTATTTGACAAGACCCCAAAACGCCAGATATTTCTCATACGATCTAAATACTGAATAATAAATAATCATAATATATTGTCCAAGCTCGACGCACTGTCCACCGCTGCGGATGCGCTGACACTGCGGAAAGGGGAGCACGTGGTTGACTTCTTGTACAGAACCGCTCGTATTTTTTGAGAAATGACTCCAGTCGCGATACATGTGACATCACCGTCGCGTAGCCATATCTCGCTTTAGAGTGGGAGAATTCTTAATCCAAGCACATTGGACTCAGCGGCGTGGCGGATCTTTTAATATATAGAAGTGCCCGCTTGGACACACTAGGAAGTCGAGAGGAATGCCTCCTGTAAAGCTTTCCCAGTTTAAGACGCTTTTAAAGGACTATTTGCTTTTACAATGAAAAACTTCTTTCTTTTCTATGTTTTATAGCAGTTGCCTGTTGATGGTTAATGCATGGGACATCCTATGTAATAAATGAATGAATGAATGAAGTCAGATTCTACGGATTGTTCTATGTCTTTGTATGGTAGATTCTCGGTGTGCTTATTCATTGCACTCACTGGGGCCTACCTAAGCAAAAATCTGATATTCGTGGAATCTGGCCTCCGACTATGTCCAAACAGGCACTTCTATACGTCAGAAGATACGCCGCGCTGAGCTGAGTCGAATGGTGCCCTTGGTGATATGGCCACGCTACTGTAATGTCACAAATCGCGCAACCATGCGTTTTTTTTTCAAAAATACGCGCGGTATTGTAATAACCAGCTCTGGCACTTTGCAAATCATTTTCGTCCGAGAGCCACTCGTCTAGGAAGCTGTTCCTCGTCCTTCGCAAAATTTTGACTCGAAAAAAAAGGCTCCTGGTGCAGCGACACTTGTAACGCATGATTTCTGAGAGCCCTCTGGTACAGAAATTTGCATGTTATTTCATTGAACACAGCTCATTGGTGTTTGATCGGCAGCAAACGTCAAGTTTACACAAGCTATGACTACTGTTGATCTGAAAATTCTTCCGCAAACAAATCAAAGTTCTTACAACACGAAAAAGTACGCATTAATGGTTATCTAAAGACACATCTTTGCATCTGACCTCTCAAGTTAGTGACTGGTCTCATACAACTGCAAAGGCGGGAACTCATCTGATTCAGTCGTTATCCCGAAGTGTAGCTTTAAATTCCCACCCGCACCGAGGGGAATCTGAAAAGAACATACAGTCAATGTCAATTACGTACTCCCTTCCGCATACGAACGCATGCGCAACGCAAGGGCCGTGCGCGCGAACCTCCAATCGATGGGGCTTATTCCAATGTGCGAGTTATACGCGCGCGACCGTGCTCGAAGCTCATGTAAATCGCACTTACTGGACACTCTCACTGAACATGCAGTACTTGAGGCGTCATAGAACTTTTAGACAGATACGGAGTTTACTTTCACAACCCTATGTTTTGTATAGTATTGAATTTTCAAAGAAATAGTGGTGCTTTTTTCGCGCTTCTAAAGCTGAACTTAAAGTTTCTCGGGAATTAGTGTAGCTACAAGTGTGTAATATAATATTATAGATATACCTCCGAAAGTTTGTACTATTTGACTGCATGGATGGCAGGGATTCAGGTTCGCTAAGAGCGGAGTCTGCCATTTCCCAAGTACCCATTTTTTTGAATTCTAGTCACTAAAAAACACAATAAGCGTACATATTAGCACCTATAGGTGCCTACTACACGTAACTACAATCTAATAGGTTTTCCGCTTGATATAGTGTGCTTGCACTGAAGTTGAAATGCGGTAAAATTTGCGCGTGAACAAATAGCTGCGCCTGTGACGCCGGCCAATTGCGCGCGCAAAAGTCTAGCATTACTGGGGTGGCTAATTCTTTACGCGTAAATTTTACCCATTTCACTTCAGTGCAAACACACTATATTAAGCAGAAAATCTACTGTATGATTCGACTTAGGACACTTAAATGTCCTTATTTTTTTGGCTCCGGGCTTTATATGAAACACAGCAAATGCGAATACGTAAAGTCCGCCCCAATCGGGATCAGACCGAACCGCTGGCTGAATTTGCGCGCCCGTAACGCTAGGGGTCTGCGCTGCATACGCGCGCTGTCGCAGAGAGCGAAAAAATTGAGGAGAGAGCAGACTGGCTAGCCGTAGACGTGACGCAATACCCTCGCGACACGGGTTCCCGCCATGCCAATTTTGGCCTGATTGGGATGGGGCAGACTGTAATCTTGTGGGGTTTGCTCTGCTCTCAAATGGTACTCCTTGCCTCCCTTTTGTGCTCAACCTCTTGCCAAAGCATAGGAAGCGCCACTATTTTCACCTAATACATAAGTATAGCGAGAAAAGACATCAGCGATCAAACCTAGAGAAACTCCGCCATTCGTCAAAACAGTAAACTGACCGATAGTAAAGCGAATGTCACCCTATCCATTTCGACTTTATCGATCACTAGCTGGCTTACCCGGCTCCGCCGTATCCGGACCAAACTTGGCATACATACACTTCGGGCCCCGGCGGGTGTCACAGTCCACTTTTCGTTATCGATCGATGTCGATTTTACCGATTTTTATCGATTTTTTTGCAGAGTTCACCTACAGGGCTAGGAGTTGGCACAGGGGGGGGGGAAGTGAGCATGGGGATTCCGAATACAACATTAGTTTTCAGAACTATCGATTACTTTTATTGATTTTATCGATTTTTTGTAAATTTTGACATGCGAGGCTGAGATCTTGCACAGGGGGGTAATCGAGCATGCTGATTACGAACACAATATTAGTTTTCAGGATCGTCCATTACTTTTATCGATTTTATCGATTTTTTTGTAAAGTTTGACCTGCGGGACTGGGAGTTCGCACAGGGGGGTAATCGAGCATGCAGATTACGAATACAATATTAGTTTTCAAGATCGTCCATTACTTTTATCGATTTTATCGATTTTTTGAAAATTTGAGCTAGGGGGCTGGAATTTGGCACAGGGGTGTAATCGAGCATGCTGATCACCCCCTTGGGGGTGATCAGCATGCTCGATTACCCCCCTGTGCGAACTCCCAGCCCCGTAGCTCAAACTTTGCAAAAAAATCGATAAAATCGATAAAAGTAATCGATAATCCTGAAAACCAATATTGTATTCGGAATCCCCATGCTCGATTACCCCCCTGTGCCAACTCCCAGCCCCGTAGGTGAACTCAGCAAAAAAATCGATAAAAATCGATAAAATCGACATCGATCGATAACGAAAAGTGGACTGTGACACCCGCCGGGGCCCGAAGTGTATGTGTGCCAAGTTTGGTCCGGATCGGTTCAGAAATGGAATTTTCTATTCGGAACATACGTACAGACATACATACAGACAGACAGACAGACATACATACAAACAGACATTCAGCTTTATATATAAGATTTCACGGATCGGACAATAGAGAAGTGGATGAAGTCCATGAACTGAATTAAGCGGCTCAAGTATGGCGTGTGCCTAACATCCACCTAGTTCTATTTGCTGAGTAGTAGTTTAGTTCGCAGAATGATTGTGCTTTCTCTCACAATGATAGCGAAAGGCAAAAATGTTTCGAATCGAATCCAGGCACTTTGGATGCACATATGTTGAAGACGTAGTGACGTCTGCAAAACTTCCTGTTCACTTTTTAGCTCCTGCAAAATGACGATTACGCACTGCTAAGAAGCAGTCATGTTTCGCGAGCCTTCTAAAACATTATTAGCATTCGACGCTCATTCGAATCTTCATGGTGTATCAAAGACGCAATTGCACGCTGCATCTTTTATTATACGCCAAGTTCGGTTAGTGTTGCTGACCACGGCCAGATCAAGATTTCTGTCCTTTTCAACCAAGTCTTGTCTTTTCTTTATTTGAAATCTTGAGTCAGAGCAGATTGAAGACCCTCTTTGAAGTAGTAATGATGGGAAAATGACATGTTATTATGTACTTATCGGTATTTCGCTTGCGATTACGAAATTGTCTGCTCTGTGATAATTTTTTTGCAAGTTGCGTTGGAGGACTCGGTTGCAATCGCTTAACTCATGTGAAAGGCATCATCTTCTGATTTTTTTGTTCGGAAAGTATAGTCTTTATTTTAGTTAGAGATGTCGACTGTGGGGGATGAACGCAGCGACAAGCGGCTGGAGTTGGAACGGAAGAAGCAAAAGTTGGCCGAAATGAGAGAAGCTCGAAGGCGTGCTGACGAAGAAAAGAAACGGCAACTTCTGGCGTCCGTACCAACGGAAAACGGCAAGTTTCATAAAGCAGTCCATATCGGATTCTCCTTGCTTATGAACATCCTTGTAGGAACCACTAGACAGACTCTAACTTCAACTGAGGTACAAGAGTTACTTGCTGAAGTCGGAATCCCTGTTGAACCAAGGTTAGAGAAAACACCAGAAAAAACGAATGGATTGAGCGATAGTGTGAGTGTGAGCTGTCAGTTGTTCTTGCATCCAAGAACAAGCTCTATTTTTTCCCTCCCGGAGGTCATGAAGGACTTAGAAGTTTCAGGACTACCATCTTTCTCCAATGGCTTCACAAATCATGTCTGGCTCAAGAACTCTACAGCTCGACTTTTCCAACGTTCTTTCCGTCGCTATCCCTACTAAAGATGCGGCAAGTCAACTTTTGCTCTGTTATTATAAAAAAGAACCTGGGGAGTGGGGTCACCATCGCTTACTCGCCTTCAATGAGGTCATTGTTCATTTCAGGCGCAGTACTCGAAAACGACGCAAACAGACGATGATCGTGTCTCGATGGGAGAATTTAGTACAGGTAGTCAAGAATTCGATTATGATGACGACATGCTTCCCATGGATGGCGGTGGATTTAGAGGTACAGTTTTCAGTGAAGGTTGCCATAAGCAATTGAAAAGTGTTCCTAAATCCAATTTATGCCTACGATATATTCCATCTCGCCCACAACAGTCGTTCGAGTAATTTCTGCCAACAGTACGCTCTAACACTTTAGATCGAGTTCATTCTCATGATGTCGATTCGCCTATGACTGATGATTTAGCTGGGATTTTACCGAATATTCCCGGATTCAATTTTGCCAAACAAAAGGAGGAGGTAGGAAAGTTCTGCATTATTCCTGCTTGATTTCATATGGAGTCGTCATGTAGCCACAACCGCCAAAAGAAGAGCCGGCTCCACCGCGTTTACCGGATTTAAGTGAAGAAGAAAAAGCGCAGATACTAGCTAGCCGAGGCTTTCAGGTTTGTGCTTCACTTCTCTGATCAATACACTCCAGACAAAGTGCGAATTTTCAGACATTTTTCAATTATGCTGCAAAGGTCATTGAACGCGCATTAGCAGAAGCCGAAAATGTAAGATCCAAACATCTAAGCTGTGGAAATTGAGATTAGCCTTGTGATTCAGGTGGATATCTTCGTAGACTATGCTCGAGATGGTCATGGAGAAGTGATTGCGTCGAGCGATCGCTTGGTGTTATCCAGGATTTTCTCTGATCCAAAATGGTCCCAGAACAGGTGATCATATGTGTATCTCTCTTATTTGTATTTTGTACTCACTGTCGTCCTTTTTGACAAGAGCGTAAAAAATGGAGCTTTAGCCTTTTGTCCTCGTAATTATTGACGTGTTCGAATTAGCTTTCTTACATATAAGTTTCCAAAAGTACATCAGGTTGAATGTTCCTTACGAAACATTGATAGAATGGACGTTCATATTCCCCATTTGCAATCACTAAACTTTTAGTATTGATTTGTCATGCTGTTTTTGGTCCAAGTACTGCTTATTTTGCATTTCGTTTCGTTTATTGCTTAGCTATCCATTTCACCTTACGAATCGATCGATGGTTTATTTGTTTACAATCTCTCATCTTAAGGGCTGTCACTGGTATTGCTTTTTCGGAGCAGCATCCCGAGCTGGTAGCCGTCTCATATGAAGCAGTAAGTATTCCGTAATGAAATAACCTCTGCTATTTTGACACAATTTAAGAACAAAGATGTCCCTTCCGAGCCACCAGGAGTCGTGCTGGTTTGGAACACGAAGTTCAAAAAGGACTCCCCTGAGTGAGAGTTTTGTTAATCTAATATAGAAAATATGTTGTACATGCCTAATATCCATTTAGATATATATTCCATTGCCAATCACGATTGGCATCGGTTGCGTTCGCGCGATTCCACTCTCATCTGATTATGGCCGGGTGTTATTCAGGCCAAATTTGCATGTGGGACAATCGAGTCGCAAACAAAAAGACTCCTATTCACAAGGTGCTCTAACTACTTCCATCGTATTCTGTCGCTAAATGACTTTTTTTTGAATTTTTGCCATAAAATACTTGGGTTTTTTCACATTTTGTACAAGAAAAAGTAATCGAGTAATCTATTTTTTGTTTAGAGTCCTCTTTCAACCTCTGCTCATACACATCCTGTGTACGCTTTAGAAGTGATCGGAAGTCATAATGCGCATAATTTGGTGAGAATCAGTGCATATTACTTCCGTATAAATTCCTTTTTTTTTATTAGGTTTCCATAAGCACTGATGGAAAGATGTGCAGCTGGAACGTTGATAACCTCACACAACCGGTTGACGGAAAAGAGTTGCTGTCGCGACAAGGAAAGCAGGTCTTGAATTTATATATTATTTTTTACCCCGGTTTATGCGTTATCTACTTTTCAATCTCTCCGTTTCTTTTTTTTTTTTGTGTTTTCGAGTCGAATTTCCCTTCAATGCACAGCTTCAGCATGCTTTTTGGCAGCTGTTAAAGTAGTCTTAACGCTGATGTTAAGTAAATAACGTGTTGAGCACTTTGATTATAGAGTTATTGAGAGTTCAACCTTATCCGATGTTGTATTTGGCATGATCCTTCGAAAAGCCCAACTCGGGCCAATGTCGTCGTAGCTTCATCGATTTCCAGATTCCATGCCTGTGCATGTCCTTCCCCGTGGCGGATATGAACAACTTTGTCGTGGGAAGCGAGGATGGACACGCGTACGCATTGAGTCGCCATGGAACTGGTCAGCCAAATGCGCAGGAGCACACCTTTTTTGATGGTAGTCGTTAACAACAACCAGGTGCATCATGGCTTATAGGGTCAAATCGAAGAATTTTAGGGCACAGCGCGCCAGTGTGTGGTATAGCCTTCCATCGTGCCACTGGTCCTGTCGACTTATCGCACCTTTTCCTCACATCCAGTTCAGACTGGACGGTCAAGCTGTGGAGTGTGAAGGTAACCTTTCTCAGTTGATTGCAAAGTGGTTCACCCTCGTAGGGGTTCATTTCCAGGACCCTAAGTTACGGTTTTCGTTTGAGTCGCATAATGATTATGTATTTGATGTTGCATGGTCTCCTGTTCATCCGGCAGTATTCACTTCTATAGACGCTGAAGGCAACGTATGTCTATAATTTTTGGTCGCGCACCACGTTAATTCTTTACTTCTAGTTGTTCCTATGGAACCTGAATGAAGATATAGAAGGTCCAGTTGCGCGGATGAATATTGCTCAAGAAGGATTTCTCAAGAAAATTGCCTGGGCTGAGAATGGTGCGTTACAGTCTCATTTTTCTGTTCTTTAATGATTCTTACATATAGGCCAACATCTTTGTGTTGGTGACGACCAAGGTAACCTCCAGTTATTTGATGTTCATGAAAGTATGTACGTATTAAGAAGTGAAGAATGGACCAGATTCGCCAGGTCAGTTCCTTTGGTGGTACAGTTATCTTGGTGCTTTGCGCTAACAATGTTATGTTGTTCTTACGCTTTTCGTAGTGTCTTCAGATACTTTATTTTACACTGCGAATGTTGCAGACCAGCCGACAGTCTTTGATATATTTTTTGCCGGGCACTTTACCGGCCAAATCCGTCACACTTATGTGTCCCTCTCAAGCAAACATCTTGCTAGCGACGATAAAACTTGGTTATAGGTCACCATATCACACGTTTTTGCTATATCCCTAGTGTTAGTCAACAGGGTCGAAAATCTTGCAGTTCCATTTGCATTTTGGCCCTTTGACGAGGAAACCGCTTGGTTAATCTGACTCGCGGTCAGTTTGATAGCACCATACAAACTAGTCTCTAATTGGAGTTTCAACATATTGAACCGTTATACGTTGATTAATTTACTTCGCACCATATCCTCTCTTCTTTAACTTGCCAATAGGGTCGTGCATCCTTCCACTGTTTTTATTGCATGCCAAATAACTGGGCTTCTGTTTAGGGTGCTAGCTGACATGAAGCAAGCAAATGAGGAAGCTGACGAGATGTCCGAGGTGATGTCTCGTTTATCAGATGGTTTAGGACCAATGGGCTTGGGTGGTGGAAGCACGGTGGCGAGCTTAGCTGGTGTAAACGTTTCTCCACGACAAAACTGGTAGTCAGGTGAATAATTCACCCTTCTATGTTAAATATGATTGCTGACGGTAGCGGTTTCTGTTTTTAGGTGTTTGATATCTGTGGCTCACTTTCAGATTTCTTAGAATTCAATCTGCTTTCATACTGTATCTTATGCTTCCTTGTCGTTCCATGGATTGTCGAAATGTTTTAGCATATTGTGACGTTATCTCTATTTTCAAATGCTTACCCAAGACGTGTCTTATAGATTTCGACTAACATAATCATATACACCAGTAACTTGTTGAAGATGAGGGTGCTGTGGTTGATGGGGCGGGTGCTATCCCCCCACCTCGCACTGCCATCTTTTTAGCAAGACAAAAAAACTTTGCTAAACTTGTTGATTAGAGCTTGTTCCAAAACATGGCGCCTATCATTTTGACTCATTCGCTCGGAAGGACCGCTGCTTTTCGCCGTAGTAATTAATCCTTCACTAAACCGGTCCTTGCCATCAGCGCTATGGTTCTTCATCGTCACTTTGCTCCATCCACCCTATGTACTATTTTCGATCAGCTAATATCTTCTATCCGTGTGTCCCCAGAGCCTTAGCTTCCATGTTATCGCATTATCTTTGTAGTAATTGTAAGAGCAAGATTTCCTTTGTGCAATTCGACTAGCACTGAACAGGCGGTCTTGTTAACACCCAATCAACCTGTGCGTTTTTTAGTAGAAATTTATAGTTCTGTTTTAAATGATGCTATATAAATGTATTTATTCTTATAAATTACATGTTTTGTACATATCACACAAGACCCATCTTCTTGACCATGACCAGAAGAGTTCCGATGTTTGGCACAATAAAAAGCATCTGAAAATACTGAGTACTACAGTCAGCCATCAACGATAGCTATGATTTACTGTGATTATTTGAAATCACATCTATATTCTATGATTGAATGGTTCTTGAGGCTCAAAGTAGCTATGCTGCAAATTTGAAACTGAAGGCATGTTTGTCCAAAAAACAAGCAGTTCTTGGTTGCTTGCTCAATCAAACTCAGGTTGTGAGAAATTGGAAAGGTCTGGCCAAAAGTTCAAAGAAAAAAAGCACGCACAGATCTTGCTCGCTTTTTCTGTTGCGTAGATGCAAAGTACGATAGATTGCCGCGCAACAAAATTTACCTTGTGTGGAAAATATTCGTCGATGCCGAAAGCTTGTGCGAAGTACATTTTCGCAGAGCTGTGATGCGCTCGATCCATCATCGATCGACACGTCCTCCAGCACTGAAAACAAGAGTCCTTGTTTGGAGAATAACATTTTTCCGGCCGGATTAACGAGTTATCTAGGTCCTTAGTTGCGTAAAATTTTGATAGTGCTCTATAGTTGGAGTTCGTAGTTGGTTCAAAGCATCTGTGGAATTATCGCTACAATATTCACATGCAAACACTAAGCTGTTCCAGAACAATTCTAAGTTCTGAAAATTTCGTATGCGAATAGATTGCTACGGTTGCTTCTCTAGTTCGATTTTCCAAGCACAAAGCAAAGGGAAACAAACAGGGATGCAAAACTTCTTGCATACAAACGAAATTTGATAACTTAACAAGTACTAAACATAAGTTCATCACTGTGTCGAAAAATAGTTGAATAGATATTGATGCTAACTTTCTTTAAGCTTGTGTGACGCCAAAAAAACTAGTCTTCTAGGTGAGTACTTGGTCACTTTGTGATCTCGAACTGTTGTAGAATGACATTTTTGATTAACTTCCTGTTTCTGCATTTCTACGCGAGAATGGAACCTGCCACAATGAGGTATGGACTGCTGTTATGTAATTTTTACAAATTATTTGGAGTTAGCTAGAGGCTCTGAGTTTTCTAGGGTGATCCAAAAGTAATGAGGCACTTAGAGATGAATGCAGTTTTCTCAAACAGAGAAGCGAATTGGAAGTCGAAATTTCGGCAGACTGTAGTACATAATAAAATCTTCTGATCTAGGTTATGGACGGGCACTGTCAATGGCGTGAATTTGTAAGGAACTCAAAAATAAAGCTCATCACTTCAAGTAATTTTGGACATTGGGCAGCACGCAGTAATAAGTGAGCCTATCAAAGGTATCTATGCAGCAATGGGTGAGGGGCTGTCACCAAATTCACCATAGCCTGGTGGTCTCAACGCTGTAGGACAGAAGATAAAGTATTGGATAATAAAAGACATAATTTATTCCTCATCAAGGTAAGTGAGCTCACCCTTGACAGTTGTTATTTGATAAAGCTTTTTACGCTCTATCCATACGTAAAAGATTGTGGACTAAAATATAACTTCTAGTTCAAAAATCTGCGCGAAACTTCGCACTTTTTTTTCGAATAAAGTGCTTCATACGAGATAATGGAGAATTTTTGTACATTCAAGTAACCATTAGAAAAAGCTTGAAAATCTTTTTCGACTGATATGTCATATGTCCAGGGACTTTGGTGTACGAAGCACAAATTCGGGTGCCGTTTAAAAAAAGGTCTGGCTTCTTCGAAGCGCCGCTCGAAGGATTGTGAGTGAGGTGCTGCAAGGTGCTGTCAGAATAACTTGCGAAGGTACTTTGTACAAAACTTTCAAATTGCTGATTGTTCATAGTTGATCAGAAAGAAACCCTTTGAAAAGTTCAAAAAATTAAGGTGCCCCATTTTGGATCATTCTAATAACGTCATACTCAAACTGGCAAATTTTGAAACGCCCTTTTTGGAGCTCATGGGTCAGTCGAAGTGGCCTTTCCAAATGGGTCATATACTATTTTGAAGAGCGTTAAACGCTGATTCCGAATCTGTCTTCGTTATCTGCCGAGCGCCTCTGGACACTGAGTTATGAGCTTCTTTGGGTTGAAAAATTGAATGCGTTATTAAAGCAAAATTCGTCAAAATTGCTCAAATGGTCCAATGTTGGTTATCAGAGCACTCCATTTCAAAGGATACCTTCTGGTTAAAACACTCATACTACATGTTGTTTTATTTAGGCGCTGAAAAGTCCGTAATAGTTAATTTCACTTGAATTCTGCATTCATTTTTTGCTCCAAAAAACATTTATAATTCAGCATCCAGAGGCGCTCGGCAGATAACGAAGACAGATTCGGAATCAGCGTTTAACGCTCTTCAAAACAGTATATGACCCATTTGAAAAGGCCACTTCGACTGATCCGACCTCCCTTGTCAGCTCTCAGCGGATTGCTCATAGAAAGTTACGCTTCAATAGCTATCGTGGAACGCAAAGCTTCAACTATTCTGAGAAAACACAGTGATGTATTTAGGTTTAGCTTCGAGAGTTATCGGATTTTGTTTAGATTACGCAAAAACTTTTGCATCATCTTAATATTTGACGTCCAGTAAATGTCTTTTGCCGGCAACATTCGAGGCCCAGGCTTGCTTCGAGGTTCATGCCCAAATTACAAGAATGTTGTCGCCATGCACAAACAAGTCACTGTTTTCGTGCAATGTCGGTAACGGAAGTTCACTAATTGATCGTTTACCGCCGAATCTATTTCCCTACCTGGAGTCTTTGCGTCGCTTCGATCGATTAGGGGTACTTCACAGTTCCGGTCGCCACGCGATCTGGCAATTTGCCAGATGTCTTCAGATTTAATACTACAGAATCCCAAATGCACAGCATGTATAACTTTCGTGGATTGATGAAATGTTCTATTTTCCGTACATTCAAAAGCCCCCTACGATGAATTATGAACAATTGGAGTATTGCCTAAGGCCCCGGACAGACTTCACGCGATTCAGTCGCGACGATCAAATCGCGTGAAGTTGATTGGCATGGAAATCATTCCATGCCAATCAACTTGCATTTCGGCTGTGATACTTTTCCAGCCCGAAATTTTTGAATGTGAAATGAAAATGAATGGAAATGTCGGCGATTGAGTCGCGACGATCAAATCGCGTGAAGTCTGTCCGGGGCTAAAGGCGTCGCGACTGAAGTTGCGTGAGGTATTCCCAGGGCCTTACACTTTTGTCACTCTTTATCCTCTGCCTTTTCGTGCCATCACGAACTGCTTCAGTTGTACAACGGCATCCGGTCTCTGCGTGCGATGACTCGTCTGTGCATCGTGTAATTTTGGTTATCTGGGCTTCAGTGGCGACCGCATGATTTCCGTTCGGGGGGGGGAGGGCGGCAAAAAATTTTTCAAATGAAGGTGCGTGGCGTTGCCAAGCACCCGAAAAATTTTTTGGAGTGCCTCTCAAAATTTTTGTGGATCCATAACCCCTAAAATCTAGAAGAAGGGGGCGTGGCAACAGCACGCCCCCGAAAAATTTTTTTGCAAGGCTAATTCAAATTTTCAAAAAATCTTAAAATTTTTATTTGATTGTTTACAGGAGTAAACAAGTCACTTGCACATTTTTATAATCCATGTAAGTAAATTTCTAAGGGCGCCCCCCCCCCCCCGCCTCCCCCTTTGGTCCGCCACTGCTGTGCTTCTACTCGATACGGAATCAACATATCGTTAAAATGAAGAAGTGACAAGCGATTCGAATCAGTGGACTAAAGGGCCGGCATACTTCATCGCCAGAAGTCTTCAGATCCAACACTGACAAACTGACATGCATAGTGTGTACAACTTACGTGGACTGATAAAATGCCCTATCTTCTGGGCATTTAAAGAGTATTTGCAGTGAGTTATGGACAGTTGGAATATTGCCAAATCGCGTAGCGACTGAAATCGCGTGAAGTATGCCCGGCCATTAAGGCGACTAGTCATTTCTTTTGAGAATATTTAACGCGTGATCCGCGCATAGACTTATCTCCGCTTAGTGAGGTTGGAGCTCAATGAAGAGATATACAAAAAGTGATAAATCGAGAGAGAGAGTGTTGACAGTAATCAGCATGCTTACTTATTTCCTTCTGCCAATTAGTCCTTCAAGGCGTAAAATACAAAAGTTTGTAAATCGATGTATCTATGTCAAAATTTTGAGCGCAGAAATTTATTAAAACCAGCCTCGTCCCAGAATTCATGTGAGAATTTGGTTCATTTCCCACAATTTTTCGTAATCGTCGGTCTTACAAATGTCAGGGAAAAAACGCGAGCAATCAAAGAAGTTAAAGCCAATCAGAAATATTGTAGAAAGAAGTACTTAATACATACGTCGCACCAAGTTTATGTTTGTCCCAACTGTAATTGTCTCTAGTGTTTCAGAGCGAGCATGCGAAAAGGCCAAGCTAAATGGTTATGTAAGTTTGGTGATAACAGCATAGTTATTGACGTTGCTATCAGGTCCGTAACTTTGGATGCTAAATCCTAATGAAGGAATCATAATACATGACGTTGTGCCCGTAAATTGTATGCAAAAGGCGGAATAAAACAGTTTCTCACCCTATCCTCGTTCGTATGTTGTAGGAGATTATCTGCCAACAATATCTGGGCAGTGTTGTTGATCTGCAATAGATAAATTAGGGCGATTGTTTTAATTTTGATGCAGAACCACAAATGGAAGTGTACGTTATTTTTCACAGGGGTGTGAGAAAATGTAAGCTTCTCAGACAATCGCAAGTGACTTCCGGGGTAATCTAAACTTCTAAAACTTCCGGGGCGGACGCTCCTATTGGGCCGTGTGGGTGGGCCTACCACCCCCCCCCCCCCTACCTGTTCCCGCTCTACCTGGCAGCTCCAATAAGTGTCCCCCCCCCCCCTCCCGGAAGTTTTACAACTTCAGCTTGCTCCGGAAACATTTGCGATTGTCTGAGTTAGCTCTGAACTGCTGTGTGAGGAATGCCTACGAAGTTCATAAGACATTGACGAAGAATAAAATGTCTTCGTAAAACTTGTGCTGTTGTTAATAGCAGCATTTCGAATATTGTGGAAAGCTTGAGGAAAGAATAAGCATTGACTCCATTTGCGTCCGGCATTCCCGTTTCCCCGTTCCTGTGAGGGGTGAAACGAGAGAGAATTATTCCATATTTTGGCCAAAAAGTTTTGATTCTATAAAAGTTCTTGTCCATTATCATCAGTTTATCAACATAATTCACTGATCAGCATTTACGTACAAATAGTCAATGAAGCAGGTCCTTCATTGCCTACGTGCAAAAACTCATGTGTATCGTTTTGCCTTTTCTATCTTTCTTATTTTTCGGAGGTCTGTTTTTGATAGCTTCCGGGGCATGAAGCTTGAGCGAGGAAGAATTTCCTTCAAACTCTTATAAATTTTCATTCAAGTTTGAGGGAGTTCATTCCCGATTGATATATTAGCTCGTTTCGAAAGTAATGTCGCTTTTTTCAAATGAAAGCCACATTTCATGGAATCAAGATTTTCAAGAGATCTTAGGAGCATTCGATGCAGCATTTCATCCCCTTTCTAATGGTGTTAATTTCATTGCATCACATTCAATCAGCTCTCGAAAAATTACCAAAAGCTACGACTCATACTTTTTGCCATGGTCAAGTTGCTATTCTAAATTTTTGTACCTATTCTCCGAAGATGTACAAGTGACAGGTATATAAAGCAAACCCTATAGGAACAGGATAATTTTTCCTTCTCCTTAGCCTGCTTCTTAGAGTTTCTGGAATCAATTTTCCAATGCTATTAAATTGCATATTTGGTCAACTCAAACCACACAGACAACAACCGGCAAGCAACTCGGATGTCATTCGACGCAGCTTTTTCTCCCCTTTCTATTAGTTGTTTTTGGTTTTCGATTCACAAAGTTTTCCAGGATAAAATCATCATAATTCAGGTTTTCAAGGCTCCCCAGGCTGTACCCAAAGTTTTCGAAAGTTGCTAATCTGAAGCGGTAAACGCTAATTTGCTTTGTAAAATTAGTGTCAAACCATAATCCATCTTTGTAAGTTTCAAAATCCGAAGATTTATTGGTGTTTGTTGCATTTGTGTCTGAGACGAGCCTGCTAAAATTCGGTGGTTTCATCAAAAATTCTATTCAAAAATTATGACGAGCTCTGGGAAGTAGAAAAAAACCGTGCTATTTCCTGCAGGGTTTGCTCTATCCATCCATTACTTGAACTCCTTCCAAGAATTGTTATATAGATTTAGAAAAATTGTGAAACTTGACCTTCTCAGAAGGCATAGCTCGCAGATTTTGATAATTTTTCGAGAGATTATTGAATTTTGTGCAGTGGTTATATAGCCATCAGAAAGAGAATGAAATGCTGCATCTAATGCTTCCAGAATCTCTTACACATCTTTGTTCTACGAGATGTAGTGTACGTTTGAAAAAAGCGACAATACTTTCGGAACGATCTAATATGAAGGTAATCTCTGGAAAAGGAAGCCCAAGAAACAGCAACATACATTCTTTGTTGCGCAGTCCTGAATTTTTGTGGTGTTTACTTCATATCTTAGTACAAATATTTAACGAGTTTCTGACATATGAGAATTGTCGCTTATCATCGAATAATCTCTTGCAATAAGGACCAAATGATATGCTTTCTTTTATCTGATAAGTATGTTTTTCGTGGCATGCCGGACTCATGTGAAAAATATTGTCTCACGAACCTGGCTAAAACGAGTAAAATGAGACACTTACAAACAAACTATTAATGGTTGAATAGTACCTCATACTGAGTGTTAGCAGGTTGTTTCAGACTTATGAGAATGATTGCTATCGCAATGTTCATCCACAAGAGTGCCATTATCCGCATCACGATAGAGAGATTTTCAAATCTGAATGGAAATTGTCAATTACTTGAAAATCTACAACTTTGATGAACTACCCAGCTAAGAAGTAGAGCCCATCAATAGCCGTAATGGAGGCGAATACGGTGGAAAGAGTGACAAATAAACCTGTAACACACATCATTTTCGGTTTGTTGATGATTCTATAAGTCAATACGTACCCATCATTTTACTCACAAATTTCGTCATTTTTATGAGTTCTGACTGTCTGCTACTGAAAGAATCCAGCACATCCGGTACCTGAAAAGACAGAAGTATCACCCTCTCATGAAAATTTCAGAAACCGCTCCACTTACGGTGAGCTGCCTCGTTTTTGAGGCGTTCGCAAGTTCTTCATTGTAAGACGTCCATTCGTGGTTCACGTGCACAAAAACGAGCACGTGCACTATTAGCGCTAATGTTGACGAGAAAGCTAACATCAGATAGACGAGGGGCTCCACTCCGAACATCGTGTCCACGGTGATTGGGTAACTGAACCTTTTCGATGAGATTCATACAGGGTGTCCCAAAAAAATGTTAACAATGTTTGATCGTTAATAACTCCCTTGTTTTCAAGTCTTTCGCCGAGCTTTAGATACCATTCTGTAGAGCGAGGAACTTAGATTTACAGTATCGAGCAAATCATCTAACGCTCCTCGTTACTGTAGAATTACGGTAGGAAATTCCAGCATGTGGAACCGTCATGAAATATGCCCTCTAACAAAAATTTTTTTCAAAAAATTTGAAAAATCGTGTACTAGGGTTTTCGCGCACGCTGATTTTACTACACAACTTTTTGCGGGTGTTTTCACTTTTTTTGTCGTGTAATCACATTTTTGACACATGCTGGGAAGTCAGTTATGACACTTTACCTAGGATAACTTTGAAAAGAAGTATCATAATGAAATGAAAATTTCATATCCGAAATCAGCGCTTTCACTACCATAGTGCAAAAGATTTTGGCTTGTTTGGCTCTGTTTCAAAGCAGAAAATGGGCTTTAATGGCTTAAAATCCTTGTCAAATTTCCTACCGTAATTCTACAGTAATGAGGAGCGCTAGATGATTCGCTCTATATCTAAGTTTATCCTCGCTCTACAGAATGGTACCTAAAGCTCGGCGAAAGACTTGAAAGCAAGGGAGTTATTAACAATCAAACAGTGTTAACATTTTTTTTGGGACACCCTATATATCAGCATTGCTCTAATTGAAATTGGAAGAAATATCCATAAGGAGGAACATTGCGCCCCATACTTAAAAAAATCGATAAATCAAAATTTCTCATCCTATTGGCAGAAGGGAAGGTTTAAAGAAGAGTGGGAGTTTTCGTCTGCATCCACTAGCTTCACAGTCGGAATTATAAATATCAAACGGGGCAGAATGTCAGAAATATGGCTGCTAAAGCCCATTCACTGCGCAGTTTCTATTATTTTATGTTTGTAAAAGAAAATTCGACCTTTTCCGAATCATGACACAGATGGGGTTCTCACAGAGGTGTAGCACTGGGCTTTTATGATTTACGCAAGTAACTTGTACTGACGTGTAATTAATCGAAGTATTTTTCAAAATCTTGTGGAATCCACACTCGTTGTATAAGAATTTTTTCTGCAGCTTCGCGCTCTTTTCAAAAATTCAGAGAGCCCTATCTCCGCAAAAGAAAATCTTGTAGATCGCCAAAGAGTTCATTTCTTCAAGCTTCAGAAGTTTATCATTGCTACAATGCGAAAAGCTTCTGAATAGTCCGTGTATCCTTGATTTTCGCAATATGTTGCAGAAAATGCTGAGCAGTGTTGTCCTAGCAAACTAAAACAGACTAGGAAATTGTGATCTCCAAAAACAACTGCCTCCTGATGGATCAAAAGAACAGCATGCATTATGGCTAAGATGAGTTTTTGCATGGAAAAGCAAGAGATTTCAATTAAAGGTAGATATGCTCGAGAAGAAGCCCCAGTCACATAGCAGGCATTGCATAATTTAGCGTCTGCTCTCAACCATAAAAAACTGCTGATACTGTTCCGAGAACTCTTCAAAACGCACTATTTTGGAAGAATATAGGTGAGCGTGCATTGTAACAGCTACGGCGAAATCAAATTTTGATGGCTTTTGATGGTGTGCTGCTGCCCGAATTTTCTTGAGTTACGAATTAGAAAAACTAGCTCTTGTTTAAGCGCTTTAATATTATACAAAATATAGAAAGCAGAGGTTTATGAAGAATTGTTCATGAGCCCTTCGTAAATTTTGGCTTGTAAGCAATACCATGTGAGAGAAAACAAAATTATGTGTGTGGGATTCACGCGTGTAGAATAAGTTTCACCTTTACACAACAATGTAGGTATGTTGAGTACAGATTCTTTTTTGAAACATTGGGTGCAATTCTGGTTCGGTTTGGCAAGAACATGGCCATCAAGATATATTTATCAAGCTCCGAACTAATACCTGATTGAGAAAGGTGATGTTTCGTTATGGTTTTTCCCATCGTAGAACACGCCTTTCAAAGAAGCTAATATCCAAGTACCAATAAAGATTGGACCAAATATAAAGATTCGTCGATAAACAGCAGATGTATCGCAACAAGTGGTCATGGAACCCTGAAATGTTCGTGTGTAGGCAATTTCTTCAGATATTAGTGTGATTTCCAACCCTTTGAGTTTGGATCCTGGCCAGCATCTCTTGCAATGTGGGCAAGAGCCCCGTTCTCGTCCACGAAGCCACGCAGACGGCCGATGCGAAGCCATGAATGGCCATGAAGCACCATACACAGCTGATAACCCACTCGAGAGTCATCGGCTGAAGCGGACGAGCTGTCGCTCAAGTGCGCAAGACTTTTTCGGCCCGATCCACTCACCTTCACGGACTCCATGGCCAGGGTGATGCACTTGAGAAACATCACCAAGCAGACCAGTGTACAGAGGGTGGTTATAAAAATGCTTTTGGCCCAGCTCCCGCTCGCCGTCACAGATGATCTGCTCAGATCGAGACCGCTGCATCGAAGAAGACTCTAAAAAGAAGAAGGTCAAGAGCTTTTCGTAGTAGGTTCGCATTATAAGCGCTTGAACAAGGCTTATCGATGTCGTAGCTGATAAACATAGATACACTAAAAACCGGATTTGATGCTAGCGGGGGGGGGGGGGGGAGGGTTTTGTTACTTACATCAATTTCGATGGTCAAACATTATTGATACTATCGAGCAACGACATTACATCGAAAATACAATGTGTCCACGAATTAGTACGTCAATAAACTTTTCGGAAGTTTCTTGATGATTATTAGGAAATTTTTCATATCTATTGAAAGATTTTTTCCAAAGCAGGTCGGATACTCATGGGCCCCCCTTTCCAACTATGTGCTAATCTGGGTGGATGGATCTTGCATGGACGCTGCCTGTAACATTGTTCTAGCTGCTGACCTACAGCTGAAAATCGTATCTTAGAAATCTATGAAGTCATAAAAGATCGAGTGCACCTCCTTTCATGAGTACTCTTAACAAAGGAATCCACTGAAATTTTATATTTTCTGAAAGCAGAGAACGAGACGGTTCATATCACCCTCTGTCGCTGTTGTTCACTTACAAAAATTACTTTGAATTTGATTTTTCAACATAAATTATAGACACGTGATGTTTGATATTTTTTATGTTTATGGAATGCGAAGATGACCTGTAAATCTCCGCATTCATAGAGATCCTCCAATAGAAGTTTGCTAAAATAGAAGAGCTTCGCTATGACTCGCTGACTATAACGAAATATGGTGGACAACTCGTAAACAGACATCGTCTATAGGTTGGAAAATGGGAGATTTTTACGAGAGCAGCCTGCCACTCTTCTCTGCAGAGAACGGTTCTCACAAAATCACTGCACTTTGTGCAGAAAAAAAAACCAAGCTTTTTCTATCAGTTGCTCTAGTAAAACAGCAGGCAATGATAGTGGCACTATAGACAGTATTGCTTTGATTTAATGTTTGGTCTACTCAATTCATCAACGCTATGTGCGTATTCTGTTGGCGGTTGACATAATCGCTCCGGTTTACTTGGCTACCGTATTCTGAGTGAATTATGAGTCATCGGATCATGCCGATGACTCATGACCAGGAACATGTAACAAATTAGTCGCACCGTTAGTATAGTAATGAAAAACGGAAGAAATGGATTTTTTTGTCAACAATAAGATGAGATGTCGAAAAGGACTGAAGACAGGATTTCTTACATCTAATGTTACGTATAGAAAGGAACAGAGTACTTGAGAAGATTAAAAAAAACGTTTTGTAATTCTATGCTATTTCCAATATGATCATAAACTTAACTGATTACCTTGCATCTATAATGTAGAAGTCTGAACCATTTTAAAAAAAGTGAGCATATATTCCATGGCAAAAGCGAACCTCAAACGGCCCCAAAATCTTCGGAGTGATCGTTATTTGAGGGAGTGGCGGCTTCACTGGAATGTACACGGCAGGCGGTGAAGGATCCATTTCCTAAAAGCAGTGGAGGTTTAAAAGTGATACCAATGCGGAATTTCTGTATTATGGGATGTTTAATAAAATATCACTGACGTCAGCTAAGGCACCAATTACACTTGTAAGGCTTTCAAGAAAGTGTACAAAACACTAAATTAATATTTTGATTGCTTTAGCATCAAAATGTAATAGAAGCTTTGAGATGGGAAGTATAAATGTGCTTTGTTTTGGAAGGCACTCAGCTAGACAAACACGGCGATGTTGATGGTGTGATAGTTGAAGTCCGACAGGCAAGAAAAAGCTGGGTCAACTTCTTTTAGCAGGATGTGACATGAGAATGAAATTCAAGAAGAGGACTGTTCAGCTATTCAAGCACTCAAGTGGAAGGCAGCAAGGAACTGTCACGTAAGGTACGTGGAAGAAATAAAAAAGCGAGTCTGGAACCAAAGATCGAAAAGTTAGAAAAATGAGAAAGTATGGCCTTTTGGAAGAGGAATTAGTGGTAGCCCACGAAAGACCAAAAAATGTTTCGCCACTAATGATTCCGAAGTGCTACTATAGCGATCAACGATTGAGAACTGTCGAGTTATGTTCCAAGGGCGCAACAAAATGGCATGGGCGGGATGCACTTGAGCGACCGAAGAGAAAGTACGTCGTTCTAAAAAAGCAGGATTTTTTTTATGGAAGCTAGTATATGTGCGCCAACCATAAAATATCTATGTATTAATTATATAGCGCTAACTAAATACTGTAACAAGCATTTTAGGATCAGGATAACTCAAACGATTTGCGCGGTCCTTCAAGCGATAAGATATGCTCTGCTAGCTCAGAGGCGTTTGTCTGTATTTTGCAGATTCATCCTAAGTCAAAAAATTAATTACTATTCTTTATTACCCTTGAAAAAGGAGTTATCCATGCTTTAGAAGGAAAAAGAGAGCGAGTCGCGTATTGTATGTAAAGCTATCAGAAGTGAAGAATACTTTGAAATAATAACATAAAATAACAACGGAATAATAACATTTTTGAATTATTAGGTTGGAAAGAGTTCTTGCATTTCGACAAATTTGTGTTCCGATATAAGCACTGATTGGGCCATGATGCATACCGTTGGATAGAGGAAAGCAGTGTTTACAAAAATATGTTAAGCACAAGCCTATGAAACTTCAGGCGAAGATTCGAAAACATAGGATTGTGACACAACCAAAATCTCCTCCTTCTACAATCGCTATAGAACCCCCACGCTCCCATTTATAGTATAGAAAACTTAGTACACACTTACCTGCCGAGTTTATATGGAATATGAGCATAAACAACAAGAAAAACGAGGTAAGCAAAAAGTGACAAACTTCGCTCCCATTGATCCAAGACTCCTCCCACTTGCTTAGATGCTAGCTATACGCAGAGAGAGCACAGCTGCAAATTTCTCCCTTGTACATGCGTTGGATCTCGAGAAATGCAGATTTAGCTTGGAAATGTCCAAAAACTTTTTATCAACCAACCTGATTTTCTTTTAGAGCGATAGGGGGAAAGAGAATCGAAGCAGCAGTATGAGTACAGAAAATCGAGATAAGAACATTTGTGTGCATATAATCACATCTTTTTCACAGTGTGAATATTTTCAAACGAATTTTTGGAAAGATTTAGCAACGAAACACGCAAACACTGTGAACATGAGAGTTTTTGAGATAAACAGAAGTGTACATAAATGATCCAACGTATCACTTTTGTAGGGATAAGGGCGCGATGAAGTGGTGTGGTTGTGGTGTGCGTTGTTATAACCGGTTCAAGGTTTTCTCCAACCCCGAATTCAGTAAATTATCAACCGTTTGTGGATTATTACCAGAGTAACCTGAAGAATCGAAGAGCGCCGACTTGGTAGGTGATGAAGTCACCAAGGTGATAGGCATTCACTGGCCGAGTGTAAAATTAAAATAGACTGGTTCGCCGTATACCAGCGGAAGATGCTGAAGGCGCTAAATTCTTTATCTTTATTGTCATTCTTAATAAATTATTTATTTATTTATTTATTCATTTATTTATTTTTTTATTTAACTATAAAGTCGACATCCAAGTGACTCTAGAGACGAGGAAGATTAATTGATTCAAGAGTCGGCCAAAAATCTTATACGTGTTTCGAAAATGATATACCTTGTTTGGGGGCCAGCGAGCCCGGGTGTAAAGGCTAGCTGGCCATAACCCAGAGAAAAAACAAAGGTTTTCGAAAAGGCAACAAGACTTACAAAGGAAGGAACAATACAAACAATAACCCTCGGAAGAGGTGCTCAGCATGGAAAAAGAACGAAATGATAAACAAGAGAGCATTGAAGAGGAGAAAAAAAACAGATAATTCGAGAGCTGCGATACATGAAATGCAGAGGCATCACTGGAAGTAGATATGCCTTTTTTGATTTGGGGAACCAAAAACGAAAACGAATGTGTGTGGACAATGCAGGAAGAGGTAAACAAGTGGCGAGAGTGAGGTCAACGATGTCGCGCGCCAGCGGCTGCTTTTTCGAGCTCACACAACCGTGGTGGTCACGCTTGAGCGCTCTTGAACAAACCTCACAGAGTCAGTCTAACAGAAGCTCAGCCCTACACTGTCACGCGCACAACTCACACATCCGCTACCTTTCGTAGCTTTTCTTTACGCCGACTAGTTCCCATATGGATAAACAACAAAGGTAAAAATCTAGGTTTGGCTGTCACAGTTTTCTTATCAGAGACAGATTTTTTCGAATATACAAGATGTTCCAAAAGCAAGTACACACTTTTTCATCGTATAACTCTCTTGCCACGGAGTTTTTTCCTCGGGTTTAAGTACCTTTCAGTAGCGGAGGCTTCAACTTAGACTTACAATATGGAGCGAATCAGCCATTCCCCTTCATTACTGTAGGATTGCGGTAGGAACTTTGAAAAGAGTCTTGAGCCATCAGTGGCTACATATTGCCCCAGATTAGATAGCAACGAGCCGAATACTTTTTTTAGGCTAAATCGAATCGCTGACTATTAATTTGAAATTCGCACTTACCGAGGCTTTTTTCTTGAGTTACGCTAAATAAACCACAACGACGTTTTTACAGTGTTTTTTTTGAATGTTGATTGAACCATTTAAAATTCTCAAAAATTCGTAAATAGTTGTCTGATGAAGTCAGCATGTCTAAAAAATGCTTCACAACCTTTCAGATTTTTCTAGAACTTTTTGTGCAACCGCCTATTTCACAATGCCGCTGCATGCTGAAAGTTCCTACCGTAATCCTATAGTAATGAAAAGCGATGGGTGATTCGCTCCATACTGTGAATCTAAGTTGAAGCGTCCTCTACTGGGTGGTATTTGAAGATATGGAAAAGACCCAGTGGGAAGAGAATTATTAACGATCGAAACGTTAGTATTTACTTGTGGGGCACCATGTATTTTTGAGGAAAACGCATTGCATAGGTAACAGACCCGGTGTTCCATGGCAAACCATGTAGGAAATCCTAGGTTTTCAAAACTCTGCGAGGAAACTCACCACGCACATAATAAATGCAGAATCAAAGAACTCCGAGAATCGCATTTTTGTCTAATAAATTCTAGAGATCTCTTTCGTACATAAACCGGACGCATACAAACACTCATACATAGTACTTTGCTGGAAACCGGTAACTCTGTTCTTGTCGTTCCCTCTCGTGATTATAATCATGTAGCGCCTTCTAATTTAACGACATGATTCATGACCATGTGAGGGTCATACTTTTCAAGATTTATCACTTAACTCGAGACCCAAAAAAGAACAAAATCTTTGATGTAAATTCAATCGCAATTTCCTGCAGTATGCATGTGAAGAGCAAAAAAAATAGGCATTAAAGCAACCATGAGCTTTTTGATAGTGACAGAAATTTTTTTTATTAACCTTCATATCCATTGTCTGAACAAAACAGATAAGGAGTGTACTTCATCTTATGGTCTAAAAGAAAAAAACACACATGATTGCAGTTACCTAGAGCTGCCACAACCTACAGTTTGAGGAGTGATGCCGGCAAAAAAAATATTTGAATACTTGACAAGGTAACTATGTCGAAGAAAGTGGATACCCTCTGAGCCCAGGTTATCAAAGAGAAAAATTGTTTGTCTATGGCATACCAGTGTGACATACTTTGATAACAAAAAATTGGCTAACCCAGTTGCAAGCAAATGCATTTGCAGGTAAGGCCGATATAGGTTTCCGTGATTATACTATGATAAGATTCCATTAGGTGATCCAGAAAGTGCGACTCTCTTTTGAATGTTACACACTCTGAAAAAAAACAAAAAAAAAACTCAGGGTTTTGTGTGCAAATAAATTCACGCAGAAAATTTGCCTTGCCTTCAATAATCAGCTCCTATTAAATTTGCCTCTAGCAATGTAGAACTCCGATGAAGAGATTAAAATTTTGATAGGAGAAGTAATTTGTACATTGTCAGGAAGCCAAAAAGCAAAAAATAAGCCTAATATAAACTGAGGTTTAACTACTGTAAGATCAAATCTGTTTCAGAAGCTGCTGTCAATTGTGTTTTAAAAATAGATAAAATGTAATTTATCAAGGAGCCGGAAAAGGTCTGATTGTTTTATACTATTTACAAGCATCCAAATCATGATCAAAGAGTAGAGTTGAAGATTGGGAAGACAAAACCGTCCAAGAAAAACAATCATGATGGTGAAAACTGGCAGAGAGGTGGTTTAAAAAACACATATAAATGCTGTGTTCAAGCATATAGACAAAATTAGAACGTTAAAGGTTACCGAAAAACGCTGACTTCAAAATAATTGTGCATCTTGCAGGGTAGCTCTTTCAGTGGCACGATGATTGCACCGTAAGCAGTCATTTTCCCAGTTTCTCCTGGAAAAATTTCATCAAACTTCCGCTAATTAAGATAATTTCATATAGAAGATTAGTGGACAATTGGAATCAGAAAATCTGCACACTAACACTGGTTCAGCCTCAGAAAGAAACTTATCATCTTTTGTTTATGTGAATCAAAATTTGATCGGAAATCACTCTTATCACATTTGTTGACACACTAAATCGAATGCTTTGATAAAACACTAGCGGTTTGCTTGGGGACGCGAGCAAAACACAGCACTTTTTTCTTGTTCCAGTTGGTGATCTGCAGTCTACAGCTCAGTTCTGATAAGCATTTTGACATTTTGTGTTTGTAGGAAAACAACATCTAATATAGCGGCAAAAGTGCAAGCTAGTGCCTTTTGATTGCTAAGTTGCCGTCTTTGCAGTTATTTATCCATTTATCTATTGGTACGCTCATAAGAGTGCTGTACAACAATACCAGGATGAAGCGTTATTCAAAAAAACTAGTAAGCTTGAAAAAGGAGGAAAGAAACGGAACAGTGAACGAAGAGCATATCAATGCATAAATGGGATAATGGTGAACAGGTACTTCAGGTACAATTGCTCATCTACAATTTCACAACAATAGGCTACAGTATGAGTATGATCCAGAATACACCTTTCGCAGTCCTAGAATTTCAAGGCGAAAAATGCATTGTGCCCAATAAGAACTCGCTCCATTTGCTTTTTATCCATAAAGCTTTGAGTCTTGTGCTCTACAATAACGTTCTGCGCCAGCTTTTTTACAGGAGGAAATGACGCCTTTAGTTATTTCATAGTTGTTAGCAACAGGCGGATCAAAAAAAAGCAGGCGATGATTTGGATGCATTATCCGGATTATTTCAAGGTGATCCAGTCCTAACTGGTGGATATTTTGATGTTCGACCCATGTGCGCTTCTTCGACTTTCGGCAAAACGGATTGTACTTTATTTATGTATATATATATATATGCTTTCAGTTGTTGATGAATCTCATATGATTAAACTCTGATATAAATGAAAGTGTATCAAAAGCATTTTGAAAAACTGAACATTCCCAGGACTCTGTAATCAGTCCTTTTGAAGAAGTTTTTAAAAAAACGGGCATTCATTATGCCAATCACCTGCCCTCTTTCAACTAACAAGAGTTCCGCGTGATCGAATTTTGAGGCGGCAGTTCTAAGATCATAACTTTTCCATTACCCAGTTGGGTGACAGCTCGTTCTTTTCTACACTGTTTACTTCTTTTTGGAACACTCGGCGTGTATCAAGTAAAAGAAGAAATTCATCTAGGTGGCAAACTTTTACTGCAAAAAAAAGCATACCCGCTTTTCAAGCAAAGGAAGAAATTTATAAACTATGTTATGTGGCTGTAGTTAATTCTGGATTCGTAATCCATTTCACAAGTTCGCAAAAAGTTTTACAGAATGGCTCGTTTCGGTTATAGCACTCTCTGAAGAAGTCGTTTACGAAACATAGTTTATAAATTTCAGCCTTATCAGAAAACAAGATATACTGGTTCTCATTTTCACCCTAGTTGCGGTTGTAAAGTTCAGCATATAGCAACCTCTCTGAATACAATACAATTTCATCACCAGACGTGAGAAACCATCAAATAGGCAACTTTGACAGAAAAGCAAGATGTATAGCTCCAATCGTGTTCATTTGTCTGCAATCAATTTTTGTGGGTATCCAAACTGGTGTTTATCTAGGGTGCATAAGTACATGATGTTTGGTACCAACGGACATATGCATTGTCAGCAACTGGTTATTTTCGTTGTGCTCTAGTATCTTTTAAAACAAACAGATACATAGGAGGTATAAACATAACCCATTGAGATAGGACCTCTGCAGAATATTCTTTTAGAAGTGTCATCTAGTTCACCTTGGTAGTGTCAAAGAGAACGAACTGCTTTTGGACCTCTTGTGCATTATATTTCGTGTATATTCTAACTTTCATGAACGTCCTTGTCTACCATCGCTGATGGCATAATGCTCAACAGTCGCGACCATGACCATTAGAAAACACTTCCACATTAAGAACAAAGAATTACCTACTTAAAAGATCAAAGAGGAAAGACTACATACGCGGTTCCTGAAGCATGATAAATTCCCACAATTAGTGTATGTTTTTTAGTAAGTGCTTTACTGCAATTATCTCTCAACCAGCTTTCCTTGAGAAGTGCACATGGCTAATCCACTCACTTCCTTCAGATTAAGGGCATGTTGAGGGACGGCAAAAATGAATCAAGGACAGCATTTGCGATCTTTACTCGTCTGATCAAACAAAATCGCTCGCGCTTAATGCGGCTCCCAACAAATGATTCACATTTACAACAGGGGCGATTATGTTCCATCTGTGAGAGCCAACAAACTTGCAGAAAGTACACCTTTCTTTCTCTGGTCGCTTGCAAATTTCCGTTATTCTAGTTGATACTTGTAGATTTACCTGGACCATTTCTTATCATGGATCTCACAAGCCAAATCTCGCCCTTTCTGTAAAAATGAATTTCGGATCGCTGGCATCAATCTGGCAAACAAAATAAAGTCATCTCCTGCATGTCCACTCGAAAAAATTGAAAGAGATAGAAAAGTGAAATAAAGGGCCGGGCATACTTCACGCGATTTCAGTCGCGGCGCGATTTGGCAATATTCCAACTGTCCATAACTCACTGTAAGCACATTTTAAATGTACAAAAGATAGGGCATTCTAGCAATCCACGTAAGTTATACACACTATGCATGTACCGTTTGCTAGTATTGGATCTGAAGTTTTCTGGCGGATTGCCAAATCGCGTCGCGACTGAAATCGCGTGAAGTATGCCCGGCCTTTAAGAGAGCAAACTGGAACACGCTGAATCAGAGATTATTGGAGATGATCGATGACTATAGGATTGTTCTACGCGAATGTGGCTAATCACTGAGACTATGGTGTATGAGATGCCAAAACAAATCAAATACCGTCGAGTTTAGGACTTGAGAAAGTATGTTCAATTTTGTGAATAAAGCAAATGCCAAAAAAGATGTACGATTCCATTCAGAGATAGCGAGCGAAATTATGCTTTTTGATAGATTACACGCCAGCTCGGTTCGGAAAGTTTGTACTGGGAAGGATATAGCATATAAGGCCCATATGCACGTACTTCCCCCCGGGGATGGGAGGGGACCTGAGGACGCGTCACATCTCGCTGCTTTAGAAATCTTTCTTCTTCTTTCTCTATATCTCTATCTCTAAGAAGGTTCTCATACCCTGATACCTGCGCGTAATGATTGCCAGGTACTGTCATACAAGATCAGATTTTCACTACTTTTCTGATCCCCTCGTGGATCCCTAGGAGATCACCTCTCATTTTTGCAGCCATCTAGTTATGTATATTCCTATAACAACGAAACGTTGTAAAATCGTGCAGAGGATATATTAGGCACTGCTAACATGTTTATAGTAGAAATAAGTAAAATCAGGTATCGAAGTCTTCGAGGAAACACCGCTAGCGAGCTAAGGATTATTGAAAAATTCACTCCAAAGTCTTCAAATTTCATTTTTCCTGTCGAAAACATGCTTAGCTATGCCGTAGTATATCCTCATTGTCATTACATTATAGCGTTTTCATTGCATTTGTGGGTAGATAGATGACTTTGAACATATATCAGATGAAGATAAAGATAAAGATAAATGCCATAGAAGATTAGATTTTCACTATTTTGTGTAATCCCTTGGGGATATTCTTTTTCTGTCTAGCTTCATAAGCTAGACAGAGAAAGAAGAAGAACGATATCTAGAATAGGAGTACGCGTCTTCTCTCACAATCAGAAAACCTTCCTCCCTCTGGGGAAGTACGTGCATGCGGGCCTAAAAGATGGATAAGCGTGGTGATATCTAGATTTCTGGAGCAAAAGAATATGCTTCCCTTGAAAGGCAGCGTCCGAGCACCTTTTTCAGTACAGTGTTAAAGGGACGATTTGTGGCTCACAGGGTTCTGCGCGCAGACCCATAGGGCGGTGGGGGTGTATGTCAAGAGGCGCGATTTTTATTGCCAGATGGATACCAAATAGCACATAATAAGTGTTTTATAACTTTCTAAAATTATTCAGAATTTAGAAAAGGATATATCAGATAGTTGCATGGGTTGCTTGACCTTGCTACCTTAGAGTGAAATCAAGACAGCAATTTTGAAAGTCAAAAAGCCATGAAAATGCAGTTAAGAACAAAATTGGAAATATTTCGGTTCATTTTCCAGCAAAAGCCATCAGACTCAGTAAGTGGTTACCTCAGACAGATAGTAAGCCAATGCACTTTATCTGGTACTTTTTGAAGACTCACATAGCATAATACTGGGGTTTAAAGTTGGTGACAGCCAGAGAAATCGCGCCTCTTGACCGCCTCCCGGGCGGTGGGACCTTCTGCCAGCATCTAACCCGATGCAGGCCGTCTGTCAAGCAGGTAACGGGATCCGTTTGGGGACAAATGTCTCAACAGCGAGTGCACCATCTACTCCGCCGCCTGGGAGTTCTTTCGGTCAAAATCCAGAATCAATCCAGAAGTCCAAAATCCAGTTTATGTGCGATCTCTATGTGTCCAAAGTTAAGTGAACGATGCCTTCAACTGCGCTTCCTCGCGGTTAGGAGTGTTGTTACCGCTTCTTTGACGAGCTAAGGTATAGGGCAAAAGATCAAAGCTCGAATACTTTGCTGGAACTTCGCTTACTGTCGTTACCTAACTCGCTGTCGTTTGCAATATGTTTTCGTATGTTATGTTCACCACATATTCTAAATTCACAAACTGACAATGATTTTTCCGATGATCTTTTTCATCCCCCTCTACATAGCATCTACCTCTCACCGGAAGTTGATGCGACACCAGAGAGATGCAGTAGTTTGAAAATGCTGTTGTTATTTGTGTTCACACCAAATCTTGTACAAATGTAGATTATTCACAATTATTCATGCTTTTGGGATTCAAGAAAAACAAACAGATAGCAGTCAATATGTCGTGACTACAATTTCAGCACATCTAAATGAAACTGCGTTTTGAGAAAGAGCACGTAGACAGCAAACATGAAATTATGTTCATTATGTCATTCATTACCTTCTGATGAGTTTACCTATTAACGAGATCTTACCTTCTCAGAAACATTTTTCAAGCATGCGCTCGAGGCGCGTCTGAATCTCAGGCTTCCAGTATCCGATCACAAAATCACAGAAACACAGATTTCGTTTAACTTGATCTACGGGCTGCGTCGTCCTGACCACGAGGAATGCTATTCTCTTATGATGAAGCCTTTCATTTGCTACGATAAATATACGACTGGAGATAAAAAATTCGGATCAGGCTAGAATTCGCGAATAGAATGGTTCACATAGCGAATCCGAAGTCATCCGCAGATAAAGACCTTTATATGAGTAGGATGTAATCACAAAAAAATGCGCATTTCAATGTGTGTGCATGTGTGTCGATGCACACACTACTAATATTACGCATACCCATTGAATGCGCAGCCGTTTCCCATACATTCTAAAAAAAGCTTCACTAGATGCATCTTTGAAGTGCAAGTTCACTCGAGTGCGTGTCTCACTTATCAGTACCTTCACACCATCACATGTGATCAGCAAAGCCAAAGAACTCGATTATGCGATTTGTCAGCAAAATGTGAGAACTTATCCACCTGCGGTGGACTTACCATAACTCCGCTATATAAGTTGTGTCCGTTTCTTTGTTGCCCAGTTTTCAAGGCAGATGTTCTAGGTTGTTACGGTGATGTTAATACACGGTGTCCCAAAAAATGTGCCTACGGTCTGATTGTTAATAACTCTCTTGTCATTAAGTCTTTCGCAAACCTTCAGGTACCAATTTGGAGCAGGCTTTAACCTAGATTTATGGTATGGAGCGAATAACCGCTTTCTCTTCATTACTGTAGGATTACGATAGAAACATTGAAGAGAGTTTTGCGTTATGAGGGTCATATTTCACCTTCAAAAAGAACTAAGGAAGCTGATCTTGCACTAGGTAATCCAGCACATCGTAATGCTTTTTTCATAATTTATGCCAGATATAACGTAAGGACGGATTTCTGATATACGTCGAAAATTTGATTAGGCCATTCGAAAAGCTCTGCGAACATGCAGAAAATTATGTAGTGAAACCAACATGAATAAAACCTTGATCCACATATTTTCAAATTTTTTGAAAACTTTTTCTAGCGGCCTATCTCACGGGGGCACCATATGCTGCAAGTTCCTAGTGTAATATTACGGTAATGAAGGGAAATCTATATATACATAAAACTCAAACTTTGTGTGTTCGTTTGCTCGTTCGTTAGAAACGCCAGCCAATGAACCAATTGGGCTGAAACTTTGCACACATATGTTTTCAACCCCGGAGGTGGTTTAGCGCTACTTTGGCGCTACTTTTTGCAGCGATTCGCTGGGAAATACTATTGATTTATTGATTTGTTTACTTGCCTCTGTAAAAGTTCACATGCTCTAGCCAATCATTTTGCAATAAACATGTAAGCAGGGCGGTGAAGCTATTCTAACCTCAAGGTCGGCAGAATGCGGCAGTTCGTCTTAACGCGCTTTTCGCAAGTTTGAAAGTGTAAGTAAAAATTTTTGTTAAACTAATGTAGAGTCTCGGGTGAAACCGGGACCACCAGCTAGTCGGTAGACCTGCCACGTGTGGCTAACACGTTGGCAACGTGGCATCAACATGTTGGGGCATGCCAACGTGTGCTGCCAACGTTGCCAATGTGTTAGTCACACGTGGCACGTCCGCGACGCCACAAGGGTAGCACGATCTGTGGAGGGGACGATACCTTCCTGAAAGATTTCATGACATGAGAGGGACCATTAATCAACTGTATATTGAGAACTTCTCTTGTTCCTTCTAATGCTTTCAAATTTCAAAAGAATTTGAAAAAAATGTTTTTGTGAGACTTCACCAAACCTCGCTAAAACAAAATTTGCTTTTTTTGAAAAGATATTTGATGAAATCTAGCTAAGAATACAAGAAATTCAATGCTTTTTTACGTTTTTTTTACAGTATCCGGTTTCGGGCTTATAAACTATACCGATATAACTATACCGGCTATATATACCGATAGTGCAGCGCTTCCATTGTGCCCCTCATTGGTAGTTCCCAAGAATACGAAATCAAAGATGAGGATTTAGCTACGAAAAAAAGTTAGGGCCTTACGTTGGTCCACGGATAAGGGTCTAATGTGAACTTGAAATAACACAAGGTTTGATGTAAAAGTCTTGCTTGTAGAATTTGTCAAAAAACTAATGCCTTACATAATCGCTCTAATGAGCCATTGCTAGTCGAGGCAATCGACAAGTCACATGTGATGGGTTCTAGGTAGAGTAAAGCAGGAACTAGCAGGGAACATCCACCAATTACTTCTCGCCGCTCCAGCAATTGTAAAAATTTCTAATCAACAAATGGACATGAAATATCGCTCGTATTTTTTGAAAAAAAAAACGACACCAGTCGCCCGATTCATATGACAATCACCGTAGGTGGCCAAATCTCGCTTCAAGTGGACGAATTTCTAATCCAAGGGCACCATTCGACTCAGCTCAGTGCGGCGCACCTTCTCATATATACAAGCAATCGCTTGGACACATTTGAAGGCTATAATCCATGAACCGTTTCGGATATTTGCTTATGGTAGATTATGCAATGTGCTTATTCATTGTACACTCTGGGGAACATATCTTGAGCTGAACTCTGAAACGATTCGTGGAATTCGGCCTTCCGCTGGCGCCCTTGGATTGAGAATTCCTCCACTCTGAAGCGAGATATGGCCACGCCCGGTGATGTCACATGAATCGGATGACTGTGCGTCGTTTTTTCAGATAGGAGCGGTATCGTATATGTGTATACTAGAAATGCCTTCCAATTCTCATAAGAAAACATTCCCATGACGAAGAAAAACAGATTTGAGAAAAACCAGTTTGAAATCTTATTTCTTCTTCAGTAGCGTTTTTCGCAAGGTTTCTTCTTCAATACCGTTTCTCGAAGGCTTAGTCTCTATGAGAAAATAGAATCTTCTAGCTGTAGAGACGAAAAAGCTCTAGTCTCTACATCTAGAAGCTTGCTTGGCCCATGAAAATTGCTTTGCCGGAAAAAAGCTGATTTTGAAAATGTAGTATTTGAATTTGAAAATTGCATAACGGACGAAATTATGCAGCAAGTTAGGATGACATTTGTGATTAGCATGTCTAATAACCCTTCTCAATAAAAGCCAAAACCGTGAATGATTCTCTGCCGTAAAATTCTATGGACCTACCGTGACACATTAGAAGATCACTATGCGAAAAGCGCATGAATTTTGATAAAATTTCGAATAACTCTCAAAGCAAACTTAAGCATATCTTTCAGAAAATTTGGGCCCAAATAATGGAATTAGCAGCTTGCAATAATGATCCAGCAAGCACAGCGAAGGCCCAAAAAACGCTTCGCAGGAGCACTTTGATTCCGAAAATTTGTAACTGCTGGACATTGGGAAGGATACGACAGTAAAGATTTTACTGGTCAAGGAGGCATAGAAAGAAGTAAGAGAAACAGATATCCATCCATGAGATAACAAATTTATCTTGAGAATAAGGAATGAACTAATCTCAGAAATTTTATAATGTTTATCTTGTGGCAACGAGTTTGAGTTTAAGCGATGAAATCTGAAAAGATTGAGCGTTTTTTGTTGTCTGTCCAAGTGAAAAAGAAAACCAATTACCAAAGAACTGATTTCTGGTAATTCGAAAGTTTGTTGTGATTTCCATATAGGAAGGAATGTATTGGCTACAACACTTTCGCCTAAAGCGAAGCTTGTGCCATTGAAGAGGTGCCATTCTGGTAAACTCGTACAGTCGTTCACAGTTGGGCCGCCTAAAAAGATTACTTTGAAAAAATGAAAGACAAAGACAATGTAACATACTGCATGGACATTCAAGAGGTAAAAGCGTATCCGGAAGAACCGCTGTAGGGCTAAGTTGGCGGAGATCTGCAAGAAACAATAGTGTGAACGAGAAGGAGTCGCCCAGTACGTACCATCTTGTTCCTCAAAACCTCTTCTCGACAAGGAATCAAAATCAACTAGCTTGGCAGCAAGTTCATCTTCCGAACCGCCAAACCCCAATAAGGGCAAATTCGCCGCGTCCTCCTTGACAGGAGACGAAAGATCCTGAACTCAAGTGACTCAATCCGTGCTTTGACGGTTTATGCTGGATGAGACCTTCACCGAGGTAAGTTCGGAAAATTCGGAGCTTGTGGTAGAACGACTCTTCATCTCCACACCGCTATCACTGACCAACAACTGAAGAAATCATAATGTGCTTACAGAAGCAGAACCTGCCAATTTTAATTTTAAAAAATTCAGCGACATATGGCATAGTAAAATGAGTCGGTATGTTCTGGGGTTTCTATAAACCCACATCGGTTTGAACGCTCAGCGGTGTAGCAACATACGGTGACGATACTTGAGAGCTTCCAAACTGCAGAGCCGCACCATTTTTCATTACAGATGCGTACGAAACTGGCATGGAAAGCATATCCTAAAGTGAGAACGTGAAGGCTAGAAAACCTTCTCCGCTGCATGCAACGCACTATACTATTGGACGAGGCAGCAAAATCTTTGGAGGATGTTGATATACTATCATCCTGATCAGCGAAGTGCCCAGACATAACTGTAAAGGAAGACATATTATGCATACCAATGCATGAACTGAACTAAAAATAACAGCTGCATCGTACACCATTCAGGTGTGAAAGTAAGATATCGTCCAATTTCCCCATGCTCACTTACCCCCCTGTGCCAACTCCCAGCCCCGTAGCTCAAATTTTGCAAAATATCGATAAAATCGATATCGATCGATACGAAAAGTAGCCTATGACACCCGCCGGGGCCCGAAGTGTATGTGTGCCAAGTTTGGTCCCGATCGGTTCAGAAATGGAATTTTCTATTCGGAACATACGTACACACAGACATACAGACAGACATACAGACAGACAGACAAACAGACATTCGCTTTATATAGAAGGATACACAGATCATCAAACGAGGAAATTTCTCTCCAAGCATTCAATCCCACTAAGGCAGATTCTTTAATCAGAAAGTTTAAGCATGCCACTATCCATTTGACTAGAAATTCGGGTTTTCTAGATCGAAAAGCAACTTCCTCTCGAGTGGTGTTGTGATACCGATCATGGTGTTCGCATACTACTCAAGCAAAACCAGGTCACTCCTTAAAAAACTGCATACCTGACTGAGCTCTAGTATCACTCGAAAACGATGGTAGAAGTCCCCAAGCATCGGAAGCATAAGTTGAAGATTCCCTTCTAGACTGAAATTTGGAAACCATTAATAGTCAACAGTAGCGAAGACAAACATAAGACATGGCCTAAAGCTGGAAAAGCCTTCAAGATACGACCAGTAACACTGACAGACCAGAATGGATGGGATATAGTGGTCAATAGGAACGTTTGATTTGTTCTTTACATATCAAAGAGTGTGATAGCGGTTTTACAAATTAAAATGGATGGACTGTACGCTAACAAAGATGATCGCCAGGTACGTCGGCGAAGTTGCTCCCTGTCAATTTTGCGAACATAATATAACATAACGTAACGTAATACAATCTAGTTAGTCATCAGCAATGTTATCATAGTTAAACTCTCAAAAATATCGCAAAAAAATTATTCATAGAGATCGGTGCACAAAAGCAGCCTTCTGTTCACAGAGACCAGGGTGCGAATGTTTGGGGTTGGGCAGTTACAGTCGAGTAGATTTTCCGCTTAATATAGTGTGCTTGCACAGTTTAAGAAATGCGGTAAAATTTGTGCGTGAACAGGAGAACAGCGCTAGCACTGCCGGCATTTTGCGCGCGCAATTGGCCGGCGTCACAGTCGAAATTAATTCCTCACGCGCAAATTTTACCGCATTTCACCTCCTGTGCAAGCACACTACATTAGGCGGAAAATTTACTCGACTGTACAGCTTCAGCAGATGCTGGCACATTTTATTGACAAAAAATCTCTCACACCCCAACAAGAGCCAGAAAAATCAAAAAGACGGTTCTTTTTTTAAGTAGTTCATGTCTCAAGAAAAAGAGGAAGATTCTCGCTCTTCAGTTCATGTCTTGGCTTTGGAAGAGTCGTGACATTTTATTACCATAACTATCCAAGCACGTTACCTTTAGACTGCTTTGTTTGTCAACGATGCAGCTAATTTCGATTTTGGAAGCGAATTCATTTTGATTACCACGAGATATTAGATCTCAAAAAAACTTTCCGAACCTGTTGATTGGTGAGGGACGAACAAAATGACGATGAAGATCGATCTCGATGTGTGGATCCTTGCTGCCGTCTACAAAAGTAGTCAACCTAATTCTCTCGCTCTCGAACCATATGCCTAAGCTCACAATGATGTCCAGGATTCATGCACATCTTCCATGTACGCTTTTGATGGAGGAGGTGCTTTCATGAGGCCTCCGAAATTCAGCTTCGGAAGAGCATTTCGCGCCCTATGCTTCTTCTTCTGCGGTAGAGTGCGCAGCCCAGCGGCAAGAGCAGCTTCACGTTGAGCTTGCTCCACTTCTCTGACCTTGCGCTTCTGCAAAAACTAACGTTCTCCAAAACTATTATACTTCGCTTATTTACTTGGTGACTGATCTTGATAGAGCCATATATACCTGAAGATTCAACGAAAAGAATGATATCGTAGAATATACGTACTGATCGATCATCGGCTGCAAGCCTATCCAATCTCGTCATACCCAGCCCACATCGACATCGACATACCTAAACAGCAGATCTTTCTTCAAATGTCTATTCTCACTCTCTTCAAGTCTCAAGCCTGAACGTAGTTCGCATGGAATTTAAAACCATGACCTAGATATCAGGTTGGAAAGTTCTCTCGTACCATCTTTAAATAAACCGTAACCTCCGGTGATTTTGTCTGGCATTAAATATACTGAAAAGAATGATCCTCGATACATAAAGCCGTGTTCTCGTCGTTTCCCCAAAATTCATAACACAAGATTTCTCACATAACCCGTTGATCAAAATTGATTTCAAAAGTTTAGGAAGCTGTTGTAGTGAAATAAAAAAAGAAACTGTGCTTAAATCGTGCGCAGAGGGTCGCGCACGAAAATGCTGGTCTATCTCGTCAACGAGTGATTTTCAATGCTAGGGACGTGGTCAGTGCTCCTCGTCGTGTCATGACGCTCAGAATGATATATGATGTTGCAAGGCTGCGTTGAGACTCCGCAGAGATCTACGACCAGAGCCAAATGCCCCGTCGCCTCTGGTTCTGCTGCTCGCTTCCGCGCGTTGCGCGCTACCTCGCTACCCCAAACGTGGGGCATGAGGCATTTGGCTATGGTAACCTCTTCTTCGTTGTTTTGAATCCAAATCTAGCAAAATGTATATCATATTGAAACTCTTGATCCCTACTTTCACGCTGACAACCTCGCGGAACTCCATTTTCTATTTAAGAGAAATCTGGCAGAAAACGTGTTTTGGAAAATCCCTTGTTTTTTCTACACGTAGCTCTTTCCAAGCCGGTTCTTTGTGCATTCCACAAAAACTTGCTGTGGCTCAGAATAATGAGCGCAACAATTTAGACAGCGTCCCAGAAAACGGGGACGACAACGCGGGGGGTAAAAATTCAAAGGACGCACAAAAAATTAGGTTGGCTTGAAGTGCATTTCGACTTGTTAAAAACAAAACTCAGCTTCTTTCTTAAAACTGAATCTCTTCTTGTTTATCGTCTCCTTATAATAGTTATTTCCGAAACATGGCTGTTTTTGGAATAAACACGAAGAAAAAATTAGCGCTTCCTCGTTTTCCCCCATGTTGCAGATTGCCTGGTCCTGGAGAGAAAACTACTCCTTCTAGGTGAATTCGAAATGCCAAATGAAAGACTTTAAACTTACTACAGTGTTTCTATCCGCTTTTCAAAAGGTTCTTTTGCTTTTACTAACTGTTTTGTTTATCTTTTTTTCTTCTTTGCTTTTATTTAAGCAATCTTCATTTTTATGAGGGGCAGATAATCAGCAACCTTCACTTTTGAGGCCCTGGCCAAGTAGATATCGAAGGTATGAGATTGCTCGAAGTTTGGTGATTTTGAGCAGGCCCAAAGAATATAGAAATGAGCAGTAGAAGCTCGCTCAGCATGAACTTCGCTCACTTAGAAACACTAAGTAAGTAAACTTATGCTACAAACTGTTTTGGATTTTACAAATTTCCATAAATTGGATGATCTCTTTTCATTTTATGTAAGCAATCACTCAGACAATTGCATCAAAGTTCGCGGCCTCAAAGCGTGTTACATGGCGCGCCGCGGCCTTGAAATTTCAGCCGCGCACGCCGCGGCCCATGTAAATTTCACCGGGAACGCCGCGGCCAAACTTGAAATTGGGAAGAGGTTATCGGGAGAGTCGCGGCTCAATCGCCTCACTCGGCGGGCCGCGGCTCTTATCAAAGGCCGCACGTCTTACACGTTGTAGGTTAAGGCGCAACCCGCGTGAGGTACGCCGCAGTGATGGGGCTACCCTAAGTGTTTGTGAGACTGGTTAGTCGCTTCTCGTGTTGGATCCTGTCTGCAGTTAAGTTCTTAAGCTTACCAAACCTCAGCATTCGGATGAGTGTTACGAGGACATTAGATGATGTCGACAGATGAGCTAACAAGTTGCTCAATTTGCACTTAAGTCGTTGTCGAAAGAAGGCCAAACTTTTCACTCTTCCTAGGCCTCACAAGCATGCTAATCGGGTCAACCATCGGGCGCTTACAGGATGCGCCGCAGTCACTTATCGGGTCAAATATCGGTTTATACCGGGCAGCTCGCGGCATGGATGATTGGTGGCCGAGCAAGCACCCGCGAACTTCCCGATGCAGTTGTCTGAGCAGAGTCCAGAAGAGAGCAAAGTACTTTTCCGTTATCCGGACCCATTTTCTCAAAAGGCTCTCACAACATACGTTGTTTAGTCAGAAATAATTTTATTATAGATTCTACGAAGACTGCCTCCCCGCCACGTGTTAGGAAAAATTTGACACGTTTTAGTACATTTTGACTTGTTTTTTCGAAATCATTTCCGGTGAAGTAAAAAAGCTTTGTGAGCACCTAAAGCCTTTGACTGTTTTCTATAAAAGCAAAATTGTCTAGGACTTATAACAAAACATCCTAGTTGCTTTCAGGAATAATTCAAACTTGTCTTCCTCATCAAACTTTCCGCCATGCGAATTTGATCAGCAGAGACTATAAATGATGGCTTGCGGTATCTCGCTGCTGCTTGTTTCGCCGCTTGGATAAGGGAATCTTAGTACACTATTTCATTCTGGGCAAATCCAATCTGTTCAATTATAACAAGATGACGTTATTTTAATAACAATTCTCATTTCTGAAATCCTTTATCTGAAAATGGGGTCATTATTGACTTGAACACAGAGTATTTACGTCGTAGGCAGTGCACAACAAAACCTTGGTAAAACCTGTAAAACATGTAGATGACATGTCAATTTTGAAGCGTGGCAGAAGGTTGACACTCCTTCCTGTGAATTTGGGACCAAATATGGTGCAAGGAAAAAAGCCATATTCTTTGAAAAAATGGGTCCGGATAACGGAAAAGCACCGAGAGCAATTGCCAATGAGGAGCGCACAATCCTTTTAATGGAATTATTGTCAGAAAAAACCATCGTGACAGAGAAGAACGATATTTTGAAAACGGTGCAAGAATCTTCGGTTCAACTTAATATTTCTGTTACCATAATTACCAATGGAGAAAGTCGATTTCGAGGTTTTGTGCTCACCTGGGTCTATTCGCTATGCTGAATCCGAAAATCAACACTGGAGAGCGCGAAAACGGCGAGAAAAGGTTCTCACGGAGGAGGGAAATTGCAGTGGGCGGGGCTGTTCACGTTCCTAGTGGAGTCACTCTCCCAGCTTCACGAGCGATCTTCTCGGTTCCGATTTTATGTCATGCGTTTCGCAGTTGGCTGGTGGTGATGCTAGGGCGAGTAGCGGAAGCGAGAAGATCGCTCCTAAAGCCTGGAAGGGTGACGTCACGGTGTGAACGGCTCGCCCATCTGCGATTTTCCTCCTGCGTTAGGGCCTTTTTTTGGCATTTTCCTCTCTCCATTATGGTTTATCGGATTTAGCATTGCGAATAGGCGCAGGTAAGCATAAAATCTCAGAATCGACTTTTTGCTTGGACACTGCCTTTAAAAAAAATTAATGCCCAGAAGATAGCCGGTAACAAGGCCACGAATCCCTGTGATGCACCACAATTTGAAGGAACCCAGAGTTGCTGGGAGCAATATTTGCCGCTGTTTGATCATCTTTTCTGCTTAATTCCATCTGGCCGTAAACAAAACGCAGAACTCTATAGATGTTTGTGTATGTGTATTGCCTACGTGAGCAGGTAACGACTCGTGATTTTTCAAAGAATCCCGACTTTGTGTGCCTTCATACCGCGCCGGTAGCCGCCGTTAACAGCGCGTAGCAGCCCGTAACAGCCCACAGCAGCCGCCAGCAGCCGGTAGCAGCGGCTGGCCGCTTTTGTTATAGAAGCACAAAATCATCAAATTTTTACTATTTCAAGTGCAACCACCCACACTTTCCATCTTCTACGCTTTTTCCTTCCTGTTGTCGCAATTCGATCTCATATATCATATTTGTGTCCATTGTTGCTATTATCTTGTTGCCGTACATTGGTTACCCTATTGGGTGCTCAGTTTCCCTCTCGCAGTCGAACCATATTTCGCCAAAGTTTCTTCGCGGTGAGATTTCTTCTGACTTTGGATTTGTCAGTTTCTGCAGTGTTTATTTTTTATGTGTGGTTCTGCTTCAACCATATCCTTGGCCGGTGCTTATCTTGAGTACCTGTAATGTGTGAGAGTGGAACTGCACATTAGCCGCTATAGGAAGAAAGAGGCGTGGGAGATGGAAAGCGTGGGTAGGCGCACTCAAAGTAGTAAGAATTTGATGATTACATCTATGACAAAAGCGGCCAGCGGCGGCTGGCTGCGGGCTGCTAGCGGCGACTGCGAGCGCGGTATGAAGGCACCTTTTGCGAAGGAATGTACTCGGACTTTGTGAACTTCACAGGCAGGATTATGCAAACATCTGCGAGATCTCTAACAGAATTCTTTGCTCTACTGAACCATGTCCGATGTGTAGCACCCATAAGTGCTGCAAAAGTCCATGGAACGAAATTTTTGCTGAAATCTAACGCTTAAAGGCAGCGTCCGGGCAGATCTGCACTTCCAATTCTTTTGTCTTATTCGGGCCTTTTCATAGCGCCAATTTCAACTACGGTACTCAAAAGCGTGAGCTAAACAAAAAAATCTTTTTTGGAACTATTCATCGTAGACAGGAGCCCCTTGCGGCTCTCCTTGTCAAAAGCATCAACAGGTTAAGAGTATGTGTTCGATTGCCAGGTGAAAAAAGCGTCAAAGGGCAATTTCATTCGAGGAGGCTGGCGTCCCAAGGGGGGAGAGGTTAGCAAAGCTCTGGTCACGTGTAGATTTGCAGGTGCTTGGAGGGTCGAATTTGCGGGCTCCGGGTAAGAAGTCACACCGCTCGCGGCGGGCTCTCGCCACGTCCAAATTTTGTGCCTCACAAAAACTCTCCGGCGCTAAAGTGGCACGGCGCCAAAGTAGGGGGGGGGGGAGGTGAGGGTGGCGGCAGATACATGACTCGATGCCATAAGTAACATTGCGGTAGGACAGTGGCGTACCCAGGATTTCCGCTCGGGGGGGGGCGACAAAAATTTTTTTCAAATGAAGGTGCGTGGCGTCAGCCACGCACTCCGAAAAAATTTTAGGGGTGCTTCTCGAAATTTTTGCGGGTCCTCAACCCCTAAAACCTGAAAAAGGGGTCGTGGCGTCAGCCACGCCCCCGAAAAAATTTTTTTTACAAGGCTAATTTGAATTTTTAAAAATTTTTAAAAATTATTTTAATTATTTACAAGTATAAACAAGTCATTTGCACATTTTTATAACCCTTATAAGCAACTTTCAAAAATTTCGCGACCCAGGTAGGAGTACTGACGAGAACTGAGGCCTGTACGCTTGACGTCTCGAAAAATCGTGACTCCTGACCCGTACCCGACTTCGCGCAGTGGTAGGTCAAGGACCTAGTACTCGATTATGATACTAGCCCAGAAAGTCCAAATCTGCCCGGATGCTGCCCTTAACAATGTCATTTCCCAGCTGAGGGCTATCGCTGCAATGTGTGACGATGCAACATCTTGCTAGGCGAACTTATTGTTTAGATGAATAGGGTCCATTAACTTCCTCCGATACGCATCGTTTTCCAAATTTATACATGCTACTGGATGTTTCGCAATTTGAATGCAAACGTGCAAAAGCTCACCCAATTCTTTTTTCTGACATGATATCCATAACTAATCTATTACCTTAGCAACAAGTGACTGACCCTTCTTTTCCCATAGATTAGCTCTTCGTTGAGCGTCTGTCCACCCTCTGGCAGATCCTGAAAAATTAGATATGAAAGTCGCAAACTGAAAGTTGACTGAACTTCACCCATATAAATCAATCAATTTCAATCAAATCAAAACACTCAAAGACATAGCCAGAAAAATTTCGGAGAAAACCCAGAAGCAGGATGCTCTGGCATCTTCAATCAGCGCTACGGAGTCACAAATTCTAGCTTGATTGGCCACTTGGATTATCGGAAGAGCAAACAAAAAGATGAATAAAGGGCCGGGCGTACTTAACACGATTTCAGTCGCGACGCGATTTAGCAATTCGCCAGAAGTCTTCAGATCCAACATTGGCAAACTGCACATGCATAGTATGTATCAGTTACGTGGATGGATAAAATACCCTATTTTGGTGCATTCAAAATGTGCTTACAGTGAGTTATAGACAGTTGAAATATTGCCAAATCGCGTGAAGTAAGCCCGGCACTTAACGCGGGTATGGAAAAATACGAGAGAGTAGTAGAGATATTTGACCAAGGATAGATAGCGTGAAATCCAAATGCGGAGCTTCGATGTGAGTTGCACTACATCCCGGCCCCGCGAGTATGTCCATGCATCCGGCCCTAGAAGCAATCTGGGAAGCACAGTGTTGCCCCTAGGGTAGCCAGAACTTAGCCGATTAGCTTCTTCAGCAGGATACTGCAACTAGTGCCATTTGGTCGTTGGAGGGAAATCAAACCGGCGTCCCCGATTTTGGCAAAAAACTTCCTCACTGGTAAGACTTTTATTCTCTTCCTGGAGGCCCCCTTGTCATCTCCCCATCTTGCGAACATCGCAGACGCCACTTCGATTTCCGTCCAACATGACGCCAAATGATCAGCTTAGCCGCGCCGCGTCCTGCTGAAGCAGCCCACTACTGCACTCGCTGCAGCAACCACAGTCATATTAGAAGGCAACGGATATCGATCGATCGATCGACTGTCGTTGTTGCAGCGACAACAGTATGAAACAACCCTAAGAGGAGACACTGTAAGTGCGATTCAAAAAATGTTCTTTCCCCCCCCCCTCTCATCCCGCCCATCCAAGAATTACTTCCTGATAGTTCGGTAAATGTGGCTGCCTGTTGTATACGACGGGCAAAGACAAGCGAAGGGATCGATCAGACCTGCAGTAAGTTTGCAAAAAAGGAATGTTCGTGGCTTCCATTATTATCAAACACGAGGACAGACCCGAGAAATACAGACCCCTTTGATGTCATATAACACGGCACACGATGCCGCCCTCCCCCCCCCTTGACTTTCAAAGCTGACGAAAAAGCCTTTGGTCTAGCTGAAAAGGACGGCGTCCATAAAGTTGACATACCCTCCGAAAAAAAGCTGCCCAGCAGAAGCTGAGACAGAGTTTCTATTTGCTGCGCGCTTCTACGACGTTGTCTGCTGCGCCCAACCATCAATCACCAGTAAACTGTATTTTTGTGACCACCATTGAAAATTGATAACCAACCTAGGTTACTTAGGACTTTTACTAAATGATCTTCAAAGGCGTCAAAGCATTCCTGGTGCAGTAAAACATCTGCGAACGGACATTTTTCGTTTGAGCACTCCATTTTCACTCCATCGTCTCCCTTGGATAGCGGTTCACCTGGGAAAAAAGCAGAATGTGATTAAGTCTTCTAGCAGCGAAAAGAGGTACGTCTTACCAACAGAGCAGTTTATAGGTGCAGGTACTGGACATCCCAACACCTTTGGTATGAAAGGTAGCGGATGCGCTACCGTCGGTTTACTCTCTTTATCCTTGCCTCTGGCTTTGTCGTGTTTGCGAGCCGATCCCATAACTCTGAATGTTCAATAAATGAAATTAGTGATTCTACGAACGACTGGCTTAGGGGTGCGCAACGCTGACGAGGAAGCACAAGATGTTACAACATTGAAAAACGAATTTGAAGCCGACCAAAGTCTCACCAGTCGGTGCCAAATGAATTTCAAACTAAGGTCAATAGGAATGACAACTAGCAATGGATTATCGACAGGTAACATGGTAATACCCAGATAACAGGTTTCTCGAATGAATGCAACACGAAATTGAGGTCAATGAAATACAGAGATGTAAGGGGCATATTATGTTATAAGAGGCATATTATTATTCATCCTTTGAAGTTCCATGCAAGATTAGTACGTATAACGACAACGATAATGCTGATAGTGACAAATGTGAGACTACTGTTTATCTAGACGACACATAAATAGTAGCGAGAAAGAAGTACAAGGAATTCGAAGACAAAACATAAAATGACTATGCGGTTTTTCTAGGATACAAAACATGTCCGCGGTTTATTGGCTGAAGTGAAGCTTATACATATTATACGATGAATTGTCACGCTGGTCCTAAATCCGTACTCTTTTATTCGTAATTTATTTTCATATCCGTACTGCTATGCAGTTTTGGACTTATTCAATAATCTGTGTTTTCTTACGCTGATTCGAATGAGCCAAAGTTGAAGTGTAGTCGTCTCCACGATTCGTGTAGAGGCGAGTTGCGGACTTCCTATGATTTTAAGAGAATTGTTAAAACTCCACGTCATAGCATCGTCTCTCGGTTACAAAAATCTCCACGCTTTGAGTTGGCAAGACCCGCCTTCGTACAAATCATGGAGTCGATGATATAGCACATATATATGAGATGTTCAGGGTCAAGCAAGAGGTGTGGCACACAATCGCTGGTTACGACCCCCCCCCCCCCCTCTTAATGCTGTCTCAATAAGACCCCCTGAACTGTATACCTAAGATAGCATTACTTGAAGGCCCTGTCAAACATAACGGGCAACATATCCATAGTCAGCATGTCAATTAACCCCTGTAGATAATGTTTGAGCGAATTACGAAGCTTCAAAATACTGGATCACCTAAGTAAAATCGCTATTTTCTAGCATAATTAACTTTGTTTCAAAGGTGAAGTAGCTCTAGCTGTTTTTGCACTCAAAACAAAGCATTACTCCTTCTTAGGCCACTTCAGAAATCTCGCTTCAAAAGACCTCCTAACTTTGGAATTAGAAGCCAACCATAATCTTGTTTCTCCTGTTTTTCGTTTTCAATGGCTGAGATTTCACCAAATATTACTCAGCTCTAAGAAGACGAATCAGGCTCAAATCACTCCCATGATATCTACGAGGTCTAGGCTATCCATTCATATAACTTTTGCTAAACATGTTTTTTTTGATACAGTTACTGAGGTGTGGCACCAACCCTAAAAAGCTGTGGCTGCCACAGCTTTTTAGGGGTGGTGCCACACCCCCATTAACTTACCTTCAAACAGATCAAATAGCTGCGTTTTTTATATTGCTGTTACTGCTTAACCTTCTTCTTTATAAAGCAGAAATTTCATATGAAAACGTTTCTTCAAGAGCAAGATATAATCGTTTATCCTTACCTATGCAAATGTAAAACATTGGAAAATACTGCGAAAATATTGGGATACGGTAACATGCTAAGTCTGCGCTACTATGTGAATCGCAAGGAAAGGCGACAAGAATGTATATATTCGATAGCCTAAGCCTCGTAATCTACATCAAATTGATTTGAGCCTGATTGGTCTTCTCTAGCCTGAAATACTGAAAACGAAAAATGGAATAAACGAGACTTTGGCTTACTCATAAAACATTAATCTGGAGGTCATTTGAAGTAGGATTCCTAATGTGAGCAAAGAAATAGTAGTTCCTTGTACTAAGCGCAAAAAGAATACTTAACTTACCTTCAAAACAAAGTGTCCTGTATTTGGAAACCTCAAAATTGGCTGAAACTTGGACCACAGAGGTTGTTTTACTTGCTAGTTATAAAAAGATGCTCTTATGCTTTATAGATCATCTTCAATGCTTACTGTACGTATACGATAATGGGTCAAACATCAATGTGCTAGTAATTTGCATGACGGGCCTATTTGACACTGTTAACGAATATCATGTTATGCGAACAGCGGACGCCTTGATAACGACTCCCCCCCCCCCTTCCTGATTCTGCAATACGAGACCCCGCCCCCCAGGTGTGGCATGCCACACTCCATGCTTGACCCTGGAGATGTCCCTCTTAGGCCCGTATGCACGTACATCCCCGCGGGGAGGGGATGTGCGCTTACCATTGAAATGATCTTCGCTGGGACTCCCCTCCCTTCCCCACGCGAATCCCCGTATGCACAAAGACAACATGGATGGGATCCCCTAGAAGTAGGGGGAAGGGAACCCCCTTATGCAGAAGAGGGGGCGGGGAAATCATCGTGCGGTCAACGAATCAACTATACTTCAGCGTTATTCTCCCTTCACACGACTTTAACGGCTACTGCGCGCTAAGATGGCATCTCGCCAGCCTTACGTTTTTCTCAATGAAAAGCATATCATGCGAAGAAAGTTGATAGAAGTTAACCACTTGTCTGCTTGCGTGTCTGATACTCCCAAAAATGGTTGTTAGACGAACCGCCCACCCAAGATGGACGGATGAGAGTTTGATGCCCAAAAATTGCGGGGCCCCCAAGTGTACACTTGCCCAGCTCGCACTTCAAAACTTGCTTCCAAAACGAGAAAATTGCTCCGGAAATCGCTTCAGATGACGGATTCGCCACGTTGGCTCCTCCCCTTCGAGTAGGCGGGACGTTCGCCCCGTCCATATGTGACACCCAACCAATCACAGTTCCGGCGCTGCGGGTTCTGCAAGGGGAATTTTCGGGGTTTTCGCGGGTCTCGACTTGATATTCGGAATCAGGAACATGAGAAGGCTCCGGAATGACAAAAACACGGAAGTCGAGAATTGGGGTGTACGGTGCCTTTAACATCTGGGCACGTGGGTTAGACCTACCTGAGGACAGCGCAAACGATTCATTCACGGGCAAGAGATTCATCTTCAGGCCCCGCTAACTCCAACCATAACTCGCAAACGTTTTGCATTGCTTTCGCGCCGGGAACCATCACGAGTTATCCACTAGGCATGACCTAGAAAGGATGTGAATGGCTTGAGACAATTTCTCGGCGGTGAATAAGTTCCTCAAGCTGCCGCAGGAGGCTCCAGGGCTCCTCCATCATTTTCCAGGCGAGAAATGCCCAGATTTGTCTGCATCCTTTCTTCAAAGGCACCTTCGCCCATAACTAGAGTGGGGAAGGGGGTGGAGCAACCACTTGTCTGGGAAGGATACCAACTCCTTCACTATTAACACATTGAATAGCAACGAGAAGCTGTTATAAGCCGCATTTTCCAGCTTTTGTATGATACCTGATGATCCCAGGCGTTTCTCTTCAAAGTCATTTTTCCTTCTTTGAAGTTAACGAAAAAATTTCGAAGTTGTACTGATTATCTAACACAACAGTGCTAAGCATGTTGCTGATGAGAACAAATGAGTGAAAAATCGAATTTTCGGTGAACTCCAACTTGTGGTTCATCGCAAATTGATGACTCCGAGACACCTCGTGCCGAACCCTGAACCGGGCAGGGCAGCTTTTTTTGTGGAAATCAAGGTTTGGGGAAGTTACAGGAAGATCAGAACCGGCTTGCGACGTATTCTGGGGTTGAATGTTTTTCCAAAAATTAGAAACAGCAAAAAATCAAGAGATTCCAAAAGTCCTACTATGTGAACTACCTAGGCAATTGCAACGAGTGGCACTCTACCTAACTAGATATCGAAAGCATTCCTACTCTTAGACTATATTGTTCAAAAAACGTTCAAAGTTATATTTGATATTTTTTACGAATACTGCAAAATCGTAAAATTCTAATTTTGCGTGTGAAAACTAATGTCCAGTTTTCTGCTTTTCCCAGTTTTCTTTCCAGTTGATTCAGAGAATTATTCTCGATACACTGATTTCTATCCCCTTTTATCTCCATACCTTCCGAATTCCACGGTGGGCAGCCAACATGAACGATAGCTCGTGCCACCATATGCATTGCGTAGGTCAAATCTTTTTCAAATTCCATGTTTACGCTATGACGATATTTAGGAATTTGGAAAAAAGCACCGGGAGCTTTGAAGGCCCTATTTCTCTCTGTTCGACACCATTTTTGATCCAGTAGGGGACATATTGCTCCAAAAAATGAGAGTTTATGCGCAGCATATTGACAACCGCAGGGCACCATATGCTTATTTCTAGCTATCGTTCATCTTAGCATACACCCGAATTCCACTGATTATAAAATATAAATCTCTTTTGCGATGGTGCTCAATGTATGCGGTGTGGCAATCGCGCAAACTCTGGGACAATTTTCGCGCCTCACCGCTTAAGGGGAGGCTGTCAAATCTGGGCGAAATTCTGCAAGACCATGAGCGATTCATGGCTTACCCGAGGCTGGCGACAGCGTTGCCGCTGGCTGCGCCACCAGCCTCCTGTTGTGGTAACACTTGCTAGGCAGTCGCCTAAATGATGCGCAAGAGCTCCATGAGAAAACGCAATAGACCCAAGCAATTCAACGCAGCCGAATCGTAAACAAAACTTCACTCTGCAGACCTTAAATGGTCTGAAGTGAAGAGTTCCCGAAAAGGCACTCGCTGCCATGTTCCGCAAGCTTTAACCAAATAACAGTATGAGTTTGACTTTTGGTATTTCGAAAACAAGCCAAACTTCAGGGCGACCTCGAAGGTAGCGGCTTGGGAATGACAACTTTATGATATTCATCGTTCTTGACTCCCTTGGACGAGCTGAGTCTGAAACTGTGCTTTGCAGCCTCCAAAAATATTAATAACTCGCTTCCCCGTACGTGCGAAGTGCTGTTTGGGCGGGTCGCGAAAGTGGCTACTGGAGCCAATAATCCAACTGCCGCCGAGATGAGTACGATGTCTCCAATCACAAGCTACTCGCACTCAAGGCCGGGTTTACGCCTCTGCCCAAATAGCACTTTTTGCGTCTGGAAAGGCGGGTTATTGATATCTTTTGAAGCTGCAAAGCACAGTCTTGGACCTAGTTTCCAGAGGAACCGAGAACGATGAATATCCCAAAGTTGTCATTCTGCCGAGCCGCTGCCTTTTCTATGGAAAACAAGAATTTAAGTGATAATGCAGTAGTGTGACATGAAAACACAAACCAAAAAGACTGGACTCTTGTACTAATTTGCATATCTCGTAGTCTGTTTGCGCAACCTGCTCACCTCTTCCAACAGATGCTTGCTATTATGCAGTCTCACATATATGCCTTCTTAGGTAGAAATTGATCTGTAGTTCTGAGAAAAAGTAGACAGCAATCCTGACTCTGGTAAAGATTTCAGATGATTCTACCGCGCGTACGATACTCCCATAGCCGGGCCTTCTCTCCTGCGTCTATAAGTTCGACCGGCTTCAGTGCATCAAAAGAGGTAAGCTTCCGGGCTTACCGCTTTTGACGAAAACGAGATGAGTGCAGATTCATCAAAATCTTTACAATCATTAGCTTCTATGCTTTAAAAAGACGAGCAGATTATCCTCAATAGCTGAACAGAGAACATCGTAGCTGATTCTTCGCTCCCACAAACGAGAAGTGGGAAAAAGAAGAGGAGAGAAGCGAAAAACGAACAAGAGCGAAAAGTCGTCCTCATGCAGAATTTGCATCTGTCGGAGCTACTATACATGTTTCATGCGACTATAATAGTTGGTAAGTCTGACTCTGCACAGCACTCAAATGATGGATAGGAAACTTACGATCAAGGAGCAATCGTTCGAAAATCATGTATCTATAGTATTATACTGTCCCGAAAGTAAGCTCCATTTTTGAATAAATTGAGCTGTTTCTGTGCCTCTAGCAAACTTAGGGTACCATTCGATAGAGCGGAGGAAGCTTTACAGAAATACAACCAAGGCACCTAAGTCGTGATCCAGGCAGATTATGGAGCAAAAAATCAAAAATACAGCTAATCTCATAATTGGATCTACTTGCAGAAAAAATCCAAGGACTTCAACTTGGTCTCTACATAATAGACACATAGTAGTATCAAAATATGTAATTGGTAGATTTTTACAGGGCTCAAAATTTAGTAGCAAAGACGGTGCGAAAATGTCAAAATGCCACTTTTTCGGATTTTTCCATTAAAACTTGGTAATTCTCAAATATAAGAGCACCCAAAGGGGTATTTGAGATTATACTGAGTAAGGCTTGTAGTAGACAATGACATATGTGGGAGAAGCTGCGGACGGAGTTTGCCATTCTTATCTTTTTTCACGTCTTCTTTGCTCAGAAAAATTTTAGTAAAGGCATATTTGAGTACTACTGTGTGCCTACTGTATAATGACTAAGATGGAGATCCGTAGGGTTCTTCTTCGCAAAAACCCAATTTCCAGATGTCAAAATTTTTTCAATTTTGACATCAAACTTCACATGGAATGCGACTTAGAGCGAACTCTTAACGATTATTTTGCAGAGCTTGATCTGCTCTATCAAATGATACTCCGAGTCTATTAGGAAAGCGAGAACAGCTTGGATTTTCTAGAAAAAGGAGTTTACTTTTGAGACAACCTAATAAAAAACTCAGTATAGTAGGATCTTTTTCGGATTTTTCGGATTTTTCTCAAATAGATATAGTAATCTATCAGAAAAAAATTCTCTATTTGCTTTTGGCATCATATAGATGTGATGTGGACTACAAATGCGCATGACTGTTACTTTTTTGTTTGTCAAGGTAGGAAAAATTCTTCCTTCCGAAAACTAATGGAAAAAAATGAGAAAGGATGCCGTGCATTTGATTAAACATATACAGCCAAAAATGTAGCCAAAATATTATTGGATATTAATCAACAAACTCATCAGAGTGGAGGATGATACAATTCAAGATTGGGGCCTCCGAAAAGTCGAAAGAGCCGAAAGCGCGAAGGTCTTAAAAAGCCGTCAGTGCGAAAGAGTTGAATGCTCGAATCTATCGAGAGTTTGCAGTGGTGTAGTTAGACCTGCTGAACATGAATGGCAAAGTCAACTCTTGTAGTTTGGAAAGTTACATTGTTACCCTGCCATAACTTCATAGAAAACTCCAAACGAAAAGGATATGATGTTCGTGGTCAGATGTCGAATACCCCCCCCCCCTCCCCCGGTCTGAACATTTGCATTCTTGCGCCTTTATATAATGTCCTCTGTTTGCTTACCCATATCTCTCACGTTTAATTTGGCAGACAATGGTTATATGTAGCTTACAAACTGAACTATAAGACGTAAAGACTTGCGCCTATTCAAGAAAGAAAAAAAGTTGTGGAAAGAGTTGTAAAACCTAGTTTCCAACCTACATTTCCGTATTAACTGTAAGAAGGGCGCAAGCTAGAAGATAAAGCTTAGGGCACCAATAGTGAATAAACCAACTGTTCATTTTAAAAGTGAAACTCTCATTGAATATGCTCGACCTACCTACAGGGCCCGGCAAAGATCGTCTAGAGGCAGGCTGGACTTCGTTTCTGAAGCAAAAGCAAAGGAGATATCATTTATGACGACTCAGGGCCGAGCACCAAGAATAAGCACCATTTAGACGAACACAAGCTTTTCGGACAGGTTATCACACGATTGACATGCTCTATCGTGTATGGCGAGAAGTGCGCGCGACTTGAAAGCAAGGCTCAAATAAACAGATTGCTTGTTTACAGCGCCACAGAAGCATATGACACCAAAATTGAACTCTGTGAGTAGAAAATCATTTGCGAAAGGATTATATAAAAAGATTCGAAAATTTATGTGAAGTATTATTTTTTCCAAAACTGAATCGTCTCCAGACAGCCACCAGACGATCTGAGATTGTCTGGAGCATATATTTTCATCACTTCACATAAGTTTGGGATCTTTTTAGCATGGACGGATTCCCTGGTCAAAAATCTATCCTTGAGCATGAAGACATTTTCATATCATTGCCTTTCCTTTGTTTTTGCCTTCATTTCTTCTAGCTTTGTTAAATATCGAGCTCTAATGCCAAAATCTTGTGCATGCCTAATTCAGCTATTTGGATTTTCACTCTTTTCTGGGTCGATTTTTGAAAGTTATTTATATGGGTTATAAAGATGTGCAAGTGACTTGTTTACATTTGTAAATAATGAAAATAATTTTAAAAAATTTTTGAAAATTCAAATTAGCCCTGCAAAAAAAATTTTTCGGGGCGTGGCTGATGCCACGCCCCCCTTTTTCAGATTTCAGGAGTTGGGGGCCCGCAAAAATTTTGAGAAGCACCCCTAAGATTTTTTCGGAGTGCTGACGCCACGCACCTTCATTCGAAAAATTTTTTTGTCGCCCCCCCCCGAGTGGAAATCCTGGGTACGCCACTGTACACAGGGAGCGGATCAACTCTCAGCTTCTCTGCGCGTAAGTGCAGACACAGATCAAAGCTAAAAACTCGTGACTTTTTATCGCGAACATTCTTGAAACCATTATGTTAGCTTTTTCTGACTGATAATTTTTGAATATTTCGTATGTAACTGATATTTGTCTAGTATACGATCTGTGAAATTTGTCAAAGAACGGAGTAGACCGATGATGAATGGTGAGATAGAACTACAACGTATGTGTCAAAAATTAGTGCTGTGAGATATATGATTAGATATATTCACAGAAACAAGAACTGAGTGCAACAGGATACCACGGAGAGATAAAAAAAAATACAGGAAATTCGAAAAACTGTTGCGAGTAAGATGATGAGACCTAGCAACAACAAGACAATCAGGGAAGAAAGTCAAGATTTTCTAGGTAATTTTAACCAGAAGAAACGGTTACCAGATGAGCAGACCTCATAATTTCATTCTAGTGTTTATTCCAGAGAAAAAGGACAAGACACTTAAGATGGGATATCCGCACAACTATGAACAGAAGAGCTTGATTTACGAGCGCAAATGAGACAGTGTTTTAGTTCAACAGAAATCGATAAAAGAGCGAAAACGACGCCTCTCGTACGTTCGTTTTTTCTTCACGCAATCTTCGAGGCTCAGTTCAAATTCTTCGCGACTTAGTTAAAAAAGAAAAGACCTCGTTTGCAGCCCATGCATAAGTTGATGTAGCAGATGGCATATGATTTAAATGATCTCAAGGATGAACGGTCAAACGTTCTCAATGAGTATTGAGCACGAAAAAGTATGATGGTGCGCATCGTACATAGCACATTCTTGCATATGAATCCAATGCTGCCTACGTCTCTCTATAAGATTTGCAATTTCTGAGTTAGACTGAAATAAAAAATCCCTGACGAAGGCGCACATCTAAGTCTGATCGGATTCAAACTTACAAAGTTTTTAGATGACTGATGTTAATCAAACTTCGACTGATCGTAAAAGCTTAATAATATCAAGTGAACTGAATTGGACATACTTTTCCGTGAATCGGCTGCGTATTTCGCAAAAACAAAAGAAACATCTGCAGATGTACGATACAGCTGCAAGCAATGTACTTCTCCATGTTTACGACCCCTTTCAACAGTAGCCTTCGCGGTGCCATCCACTCAAAAAGTGAATGATGGAAAGCAAAGTGCATGGCAGTGTCGATCTCAACACATTGCACTTTCAAAGATCCGGAAAGTTTCCATTGATCAAACCTTGTGGAAAGTGTGGCGTGTGAACAGCATTATTCTCAGTTCAAAACAATCAAAATTTTAAGATACTGCCATCATCTTAGGCGGATATATTAGCAATTGTTCACTATATGCTTGGAGGTATCTTCTTCTTATATATAAAGCTGAATGTCTGTTTGTCTGTATGTCTGTCTGTCTGTATGTATGTACGTATGTTCCGAATAGAAAATTCCATTTCTGAACCGATCGGGACCAAACTCGGCACACATACACTTCGGGCCCCGGCGGGTGTCACAGTTCACTTTTCGTTATCGATCGATATCGATTTTATCGATTTTTGCAAAATTTGAGCTACGGGGCTGGGAGTTGGCAACAGGGGGGGGGGTAATCGAGCATGCTGATCACCCCCGTGAGCCGGGTAAGCCAGCTAGTTTCATATAGAAATTCCGAAATTCCGTTAAAATCGCTATTTTTCTATATGAACTGTTTATTAAGTGGGCGGGGTTTAGAGTTGATGGGCGGAGCTTCTTCTAAACTTCTTTTCCGATTTTTATTTATCCATCCATCACGTTAGAGGGGTGACTGCATTCAATTTTCAATTTTCAATTCAATTTTTTCACCGGTAAATTAGACCGCTCTTATCTATGGGATTTTAGGGTAAGTGAAAAATCAAGTTGACAAAATCTTCGCTGAACCTGTGCTCGCGAATTGGGCTATATCGAAAAACTCAGAACTTGCACATTTCATCTGTGCTACCAAAAACATGCGTAGCACTGTCGTAATAGATCGACAGCAAAACTCTGTGACGTCTTCATTGAGTTTTTGCGGATATAAATAACTTTGAAAATGAGCGTGATCAGTGGGAGATCCCGTTCGGGATCATGCAAATAACGAATTATTTCAGCTTATACAGCAAAGTGCTGCTAGTCATTGTGCTACAAGGGTAGTAGAGCCTCCAATAAATGAACAAATAAGGAAGAACACAGATTCCCAGAGCACCGAACTATGAAGCGGAAACTATCTGTCCGGGTAACTTACCCGGACGGGCGATTGTTACATACCGCCCCCGGAATGCTTCAATGCCTGCTTTTATCTTAGCCGAATCCTCAAATTTTTGCCTTAATTTCCCATAACTTCGCTCCCAGGAGCGCTTTGCAGATAATGAAAAGAGATTTGAAATCAATGTTCGATGCTCTATAAAACAGTTAACATCTCATGTGGAAAAGCCACTTCGACCAAGTATCCTTCTCTTTTGAGAGTGTCCGCCACAATTTTATGTGCTTTTACTGGATCCGCTCCTCAAAAGAAGGTTCGAAGCGCGTAACACTGTCGAAAGCAGCAATTCGAAGAGTGAAATCTCTCTAGCAACCTTGTCACTGACACCAAATCATGCCTTTGCACTACAGATCTGTTGCAGCGACAGCAAGATAAACTCTAAGCTGTGGGAGAGTGAGAGTTCCCAATTGAAGGCAGTGTCCAGGCAAATGAGCTTTGGTATTTTAGTGCTATGCAAGTGGACACGTCATCGCGCATGCGAGGCAAAGTTAGACAAGAAGTAGAAATACAGCAACGAAATTAGGAGACTGAACCCCGGGGGAGAGCGACTGCCCACCTGTGGCTCTGCTCTGCGGCAAAGTGCGCCTGCGGCCACAGTCAAGATTATAGGGTCCCACGCGAGCTGCGCACAAAACACCCGTTGGATAGCGCAATGAATTCCGCCATTCCGGTATGCCTCCGCATACAAATGCTCTGTCGCGTCTCGCGATGCAAGGCGCTCCTCAAAGTACGGAGGCCGGGGGCATCGGTTACCGCGCTATCCGGCGGCGATTTCGGCAGCCGAGACGCGTGTTGCTGCGATCGTTTCCGGACCCCTCCTTTAAGTTATTTCAAACTGCAGTCACTGCAGAAGTTGAAATCATTCTAAGGTGGGCAAAAGATATCGATCGATCGACTCTCGTTGCTGCAGCAACTGCAGCCTGAAACAACCCTTTATTGGCTCGTTGCCAGCCAGCCGGCTATATGAGCGGCGGCGTCTCATTTGGGTGCCTTGTTCGCCTTCGTCTTATTGATTGATTTTGAATATCTTGTTCGAATTACGTTTCAGTCGCCTTGCTCCTGTCCTTTTTTCGTAAGAGCAGTTGACCCGGGAGTTCTTTGGATGAGAACACGGATTCCTTTTTGCTAGCGCAAGTCGACGCGCCTAGTACTAACCGTAATCATCTACAGGAGCTGGAGGGGACGTGCCGTCGTTTAAGGGTATTTGCGTTGCGCGGTGGATTTGTTGCGCGAACCCTCGCGAGCCACATTTATTCTAGATCACTTTCCCAGCCGGGCATCGGTAGCATGGGACGGGCCCTCGTCCCGTGTTTTACTAAGTATTAGTAGTAGTAATCTGTTTGTAGTGTTTGTAGTAGTAATGGTTCTCTTTTCTAGTTTGGTATTTCGTCTATTCTAGCTGCAGTTGTTGTCATAGGGATAAATCATTTAATTAATCTTAGGTCTATTTCACTCGCGCGTTAGGCGCTCAGTAGGGTAGGTACGTCGCTTAGTTTCGGGCTAGCATCAGGCCACGGAATACATCTAGGTGAGCCCACCAAGTCGCCACATGCTCTTTTTGCAAAACTGTTGCATGTCGCTTAAGGGTTGTTTCAGACTGCCGCACTGACTGCAGCAGACTGCTGCAGTCAGTGCGGCAGTATGAAACAACCCAAAAGGCAGTGTCCGGGCAAGATGGAGGTTTTGGGATTTCAGTGCCATGCGAGAGTGGCCCCCCTCATACACAACATCGCGCAAGTGCGACGTCATAACACTCGACCTAAAGCAAGAAAACGACCAGAAAATGGAGAAACTTACGCCTTGGGGCGGGGTCCTCCTAGCTGTCCGAATTCCTGCTATGCGGCGGAGTACGCA